GGTTACCTCCTCCCACAGCTCCACAGCCTCTCCACTGTCAGGCCTGGAGGGGGGCAGTAACCTGAGGAGCAGCCCCTGACAGCTGGAAGGACCGATAGTCACGTCTGTGCAGTGGGTTTGTGCTGAGCACCTAAGAACAGACTCCAAGTCCCCGTGGCCAGACCCAGCCTGGAGCCCCTCAAAGACGGCACTCCCAATATGCCAAGGTTGTACCAAGGTTGCATGTTCAAGCCCCAGTCAGGTCATAGGCAAAAATCAACCGATGAATGCATTGTTAGTTCAAGAACAAATTGATCTCTCTCTCTCTCTTCCTGTCTCTACCTAAAATAGTGGGATTTGTTAACATGAAGTAGGATGGGTCTTTACTCCAACGTGATGGGTGTCATAAGAAGAGAAGAGACTCACAGGCCAAAGACAGAGGCAGAGCCTGGGTGATGCATCTATAAGCCGAGGAAGGCCAGGGGTCACCAACAAACACCGGAAGCTGGAGGGAGGCCAGGAAGGACCCCCCTCTAGAGCCTTAGGAGAGAGCACGGCCCGCCTGACACCTCTATTTCAGATGCTGGCGTCCAGGACTGTGAGACACCGCATTCTGTTGTTTATGTCACCCACGCTGCGGCACTTTGTTGCAGAAGCTACAGGACATTGGTATGCTGGCTAGCGATAATTTACATCACATCCGGTTAGAAGAACTGGCTTGGTTTTTGTCTCCAGACTGGACCGTGGATTATACTGAAGTTGGACCCATTGGGGCCCCAGGAAACAGACCCTCGAAGTTGGCATTGGGGGTGGATTTGGTCTTGTCCTTGGCCTTCAAGGCTGTGCCCAGTGCCTGGCTGGGTCCTGAATCAGAAGGGAGGGCTGTAAAGGAGGACTACAGTACCGTCTCCATAGAACTGACTTTGTCAGTTCAGCTCAAAGAGGAAAAAGAGACTCTCTGAGGGGGCACCCGGATTTGAACCAGGGACCTCTTGATCTGCAGTCAAATGCTCTACCCCTGAGCTATACCCCCTCTTATTAACAGTGATGTGTAATTAACACACTTTACACCTCCACTCACACACAGGCTGTTGACTCTGACTCAGCAGAGGGTTGCTAGTCCTGCTCAACTGTACTTGCGACTCTTAGGCCATAATTATTCCTTTCCCAGAAAGGTGCCACCTCTTCTGAGCACCAGCGTGAAAGGTCACCGAGGGTCCATCCGGGGCAGCGAAGTGTGCACCTCGCCTGGTGTACCAGGCGGAAGATGGAGCCCGGAGGTGAGCTGATCATTCCTGAGCAAGGGCTGGACTGTTCTTTACCTGCTGATCAGTGGAGGCTACTTTCGAGCTGTCCACAGTGTGGGGCCAAGACGAGCTCCTCTACCTCCCTTCTGAGTCCTGCAAGCTTGTGGGGGGCATCTCTGGGGAGCACGGACTCAGATCTCTAAGGCACTTGAACTTCAGCTCTGATTTCACCTTTCTGTCCCGTGTGCCCTGCCCTCACGGCTCACGGCTGCTTCCCGTCTGTTCTTTAGCCATCCCCTCCAGTCCATGACGACACGCACTTCCTAGACGGTTTCTTGGGATGTCTCCGTCACGACCGAGTCCCTGTCTTCCTGGTGCTTTCCCCAACAGGCTCAAGGGCTTGGGAGGTTCTAGGGCAGGTGCGTCAGCATTGATGGCACAAGGACTCTGTCTTAGACACAAACTAAACGAAAACCTAGCAACTTAGGATGACACATTTTCACTCTGTCTTGCAGGTTCAGAGGTTCGGAGATCTGGGGGGGGCTTTGCTGGGGGGCTCTGGCTCAGGGTCTCTCAGGAGCTTGCAGTTGTGCTGTCCGCGGGCGCTGCTCACCTGAGGGTGTGCCTGGGGCTGGGGGAGCCGGTCTCGGGTCTGAACTCGCTCTCAGGTGCTGCTGCAGAGAGGGCTCCGCTCCTCACGGGCTGCGGGCAGGGGGCTGCTTCCCTGTCCCAGGGGCCTCCTCGCACTTACTCTCATTTCCAAACACCCTCGCCCCCACACCCAGGCTGGTGTCCCACCAAAAATCTGAGTGCCACGTGGCCCAGGCAAGGCCACACAGAAAACCGGCCACCACGCATGGAGAGTGTGCATTCAGTGTGGTAGGAGTTTGTCACCCTGTTTTCCGGAGTGGCCGCGCCAGTTCGCCTCTGACTGCTGCATGTGAGGGGTCCGTTGTCTCTGAACCCTCACGGAGTCACAGGAAGAGCAACCTCATCTTTGCGTCTCACGCTGTCCCTCTAAACTTTTCTCGGTGAACTTTTCTCCAGGCGACTTGAATGACCATTCCTAGGTGACAGAAAGCCCCGGGTGGCAGGCTGAGTTCCGTCATCAGGGTGTCCAGTCCCTGGCAGTAACCAGCACTCTGGACCTGACTGCACGTCCGTCCTCCCCGAGAAGGGGGACAGTGGGGACTGGTCCTTCGTCTCCCGGTCCCCCCCTGGCATCCAATGCTCGCGTGTAGGCGAAGAGAAGGAAGGGAAGGAGGAGAGGGAAGGGGACGCGGAAAGCTCTCACTGGGTGAGTTCTGGGTAAGACAGACTCGTTCTCTCCGGGCTGGGGAACGTCTGGAGTTGCTCCTGGGGCGTCTCCTCGGAACGTCCGAGGCCTCTGCCGGGACCCCGACCAGCTCCGTGGCCCGGCCGTGCGTCCCTCTCCTGGCTCTCCGGGATCTGCGTCCCAGCTCTCTCCGTTAGGGCCCGTGGCCCTGTCCTCTCGCAGGGAGCCTGAAATCGCTCCAGAATGCCTCTCTCCGTGTGGCCCAGGAAACCCTCGTGGGCCTTTTGTGCCCACCCACTCGGGTGACACCTGCGGATCCCAGAGCGTGGCCTGGCCCCTCTCTGTCCAGAGGGCTAGACACACCCCACTGCAGACACCAGCCCCAGGACACAGCCCCAGGCCTCTATTGGACCCCACGAAGCCCCTACCCTAGGCTCAACGTGGGGGAGAACGCCCCGACTCTTCCTCTACCTACCGAGGAGGGGTCCTCACAGCACAGCCTGGCCAGAAAAGCGTGTCTGCACAACACTCGCCGATCCCCAGCGCCCTGACGCTCTCACACCTGGGGGAGGGGGCGGTGAGTGATCTGATCGCCAGGAGGGACTTTGGGGTGTGCCCGGGGCGCTCTGTCTCACTCCTGCCTTTGCTGCCTGCCTATACCTGTTTTATCCAGGACTCTCAGTTCAAACTACCTTTAACTGCTTTATTTGGGTACCTTATAGAAGCGCAAAAGTTTTATGTATCTATTGTACTATGAATGGACGTACTAGGAATGTTTCCTGTTGTTTTGCAAATGATGCCACAATGAACAGCTTTGTACACGTCTCCGGATGCTCTTCTGCTGCGGTTTCTCCGGGGGATCTTCCCCGAAATGAAATTCCTGGATTGTATGCACACTTTTAATGATACTATTACAGTGTTATGTAATTGTCATTTTACTTTACAATTTTTATTGCCCAAATTTTCCCCATAGAGAATGTACCAATTGTACTTTCATTGTGTGCAGATGAAAATACCATTCCCCCTCGCCAACTCTTTTTTTTTTAAAGATTTTATTTATTTATTTTTAGAGAGTATAGAAGGGAGGGAGAAAGAGAGGGAGGAAAACAGGATGTGTGAAAGAAACGTAGAGTGGTTGCCTGTTGCGTGTCCCTTACTGGGGACTTGGCCCACAACCCCGGCATGTGCCCGGACGGGGAATCAAACTAGCAACACTTTGGTTCACAGGCCGGCGCTCAATCCACTGAGCCACACCAGCCGGGGTTCTCCTTATCACCTCTTGATCTAGTTACATCTCAACGTACCCTAAGTTTTGGAAGGAGAGTGAAAATGGTGCCTCTTTATCGTTTTAATTAATTTTCATTTCCTTACTTCCTAGCAAAGTTGAGCTCTTTTCACATATTTATTGGTTCTAAAATAGCCTCTTCTGTCATTTTAGTTGTGGTTAAAAACATAACGTAGAATTTACCATTTTAAGTGGACATTCAGGAATGTTAGCGTATTCACACTGTTGTGCAACAGATCTCAGTAATTTTTTCATCTTACCTATATTCTGGTACAAATCCACTCTCCATCGTATGTGTTTCTCAACCCAGAGTCTTTTGTTTAAGGAATTTTTTGTCCGATGACAATTTCAATTTTGATATCATCAAATTTATTTCTTATATAAGTTTTGATTTTGGAGGTTGCATTTAAGAAATCCTTCCCTGGATTGTATTAAACTGAATGTTTGTGTTCCCCCAAGTTCATTTGTTGAAACTACAGTAAAGTATATATTGATACAGAGGAAGCTTTGAAAAACGAAACACCTGCTCACAATAAAAGCTCTCATCAGACTAGGAGTGAGAAGGAACTCCCCCAGCCTGATGAGAGGTGTATGCAAATAATGACAGCTAGTACCAGCCTGGCCAGAAGTGCCCTCACCCATGAAGGGCAGGTCTTGGATGAAGACCCGCCTCCTCGCAGAGACAATTCTGAGGGGTGGTCTGCACACTCTGAGTCCCCAACAGGGTGGGCCTCTAACTGCCCGCAGGGGACCTGCTTGTTAACGCCCTTGACTGTCTTACCAACCTAGCTTGATTGCTGGGGTCACCTCGCAGATGACTGGGGTCGGCTTTGGGACGAACCAAACCCTCGCGCTGCCTCTGTGCCTCCATCTCAGTGACGTGTCCCTGTCCCTGTCCCCTCTCCATCCATTTCCAGCTAACTCTGCAAGGCCGCCTCTGTCTCTGTCCCCCTCTTACTCTTTCAATTCGCCTCTGTCTCTGCCTGCCACCCCTGAGCCCCCAAGAGAGTGGGAAGATCCATTTCCGACAGGTGGCGGCTATCCTGGCAGCCAGACTGGGCCTCTGGCGCAGGTACTCGCAACTCTGACGGCGTTCGCTCCTCCCGGCCGCAGGGGGCGCTGTGGGGGCGGGGGGAACAAGGCCAGCCTCGAGTCCCAGCGTGCACCGCGCCGAGGCGGGGCCTGCACGTTGGGGCGGAGCCGGCACGTCGGGGCGGAGCTGGAGGAGGTCCGATGCGGGACGTCCTGTATTACGGGGTCCCGGATAGTGGCTGGTCGGGACCGCGACAGGCTGTGGGAGACCTGTGTCGGGTAAGTGCGACCATGGAGGTGGCGGTCCCTGCCTAGTTTCTGGTTCCTCGCACGTTCTGGAGTGTGGTCCTCGTTCAGGGAGGGAAGTGGAGGGATCGGCGGCCGGGGAAGGCGCGACTTCGGTGCAGGAGCTGTGCACTGCACCTGGGAGGAAGGGGCGCCGCCGGGAGCCACGCTTAGGACCCCCGCTGTTCCTGCTCTTTGCGGGTCGTGGTTTCTCTGGCGGGAAGGTGGCCTCTGAGAAGTGCGTCTTCACGAGCGAATGAGAACAAGTGAGAAGGAAGACTAGATGGAGACTGCTTCCAAGGAAAGGACAGAGGATTTGAAACTAGTCTGGGTGGTTATCCTAAGTCACGTTTATCGCGAATACCCTAGTGTTGAAGGCTGGTTTTAGAGTTTGAAAGGCATGTCTTGAACCTAATACAGGAAACTCACTCTGTACAGTCAGTTAAGTACAGTATAACCTGCCTGAATATGCAAGTTTTCCTTGTACCCTATGAGGCTTCATATGTAATAGTCTCAGTAATGCAATCAATGCATTTTCTTCCATTTCTCACTCCTCCCCTCAACGTCCCTTGGCAGATACAAATTCTGTTCAGATTCCTTCAAGCTGTGTCTCTTCAGCTAGACTTTCTCCTATAAATGTAGTTCTTTGGCTATAAATTTGAGTCCACAGAAAATGCTCAGATTACGCCAGATTCTTGGCTACTATTTGTGATAGGCATGGAGAAATCAGCATTTTCTGGTTGATTTTACTTTTCATGGGAGCAGTTCAGTGCTAATTGTATGTTCACAGAAGAGTCTTGTAGGTGGAAAGCACATAAGAAAAAGGTAGAGGAATTTCTTTGAAAGCCCACCTTATAAAAACAGCACTGGGCCCTGGCTGGTGTAGCCCAGTGGATTGAGTGCTGGCCCATGAACTGAAAGGGTAGCCAGTTCGATTCCCAGTCAGGGCACGTGCCTGGGTTGTGGGCCAGATGCCCCAGTTAGGGATGAGTGAGTTCTTTCTCTCCCTCTCTCTCTTCCCCTCTTTCTAAAAATAAATCAAATCTTGAAGAAAAGAAATATGAACATCCAGTTTTTCTTCATGAAGTATCACATCACCCAGGTGTAAAACCTATAGACGATGACATAGGAAAAAGTCTTTGAGACCTAGGGCTTGGTGAAAAGTTCTTAGAAGTGGCACCAAAAGCACGATCTATAAAAGAAAATAATGATAAATTGGATGTCATCAAAATTAAAAACTTTTGCTCTGGGAAAATCCTGTTAAGAGGGTGAAGACACCAGGTACAGAAGAGGGAGATCAGCACATGCGATGAAATCGCCTAGAATTATGCACACACCGCACCAATGTTGATTTCATGACTTCAATATTGTAGTGTAATGATGTACCATGTGACCATTGGGGTCAGCTGGGTGAAGGGTACAGGGAACCCTTCCGTACTATCTCTGTGACTTCCATGAATCTACATCTAGCAGCATCGGCACCGTCTTACATAACAGAATTGGTAGCTGGTAAGTGCAGGTGCTCCCATGAGATGGTGCATTTGCTCAAAGACCTGCTGTTCATTAATTCATTCACTTCACCTGGTTCTGAGAGACATCTGTGACCCCTTATTGTGTGGTCATGGCACCATCCAGAGACAGCTACTCTACCATAGTTCCTTCCTCTCTCTGAAAGACGTGGCTGTTGAAAAACAAAATAGCCTTAAAGTGAGCATGTATTTATATGCACTCTGTGATTCCAGGTAACCATGACATTCGAGGACGTGGCCTTGTATTTTTCAAAGCAAGAGTGGGAGCTCCTGGAGAAGTGGCAGAAGGAAATGTATCAACAAGTGATGAAGACCAATTATGAGACCCTGGATTCCCTGGGTGAGATGGGCTTCCCAGGAATCACTTCTCGAGAACCGACCTAATAGTAATAGGCTTCCCCCCCTTTATCAGCTGTTGGCTGGATGAACATGGGACCATGGCCAGTCACATTCACAGTGTCTCCTTAAGTTCCCAAAATGGCCTGGGAATATTTCACTTGTCCCTTTTTTATCCAGTGGGATCTCTGCCCCTCAGTCTTACTCATTCTCTGAATTCTGTCTCCCATTCCAAGCTTGGGGGCTCGTTGGGATCATCTAGGAGGAATATGTAGTTAGCGCAGAGCCCAGGACATCCCAGCATTTAGAGGTCAGGCTCCAGAGATCGATGCCAGCAGGTTAGGGGAGACTGGAGCCCCGTGCTGATCGGTGGTGTTTCGAGTTATCACGACTAGTGGCCTTGGGCTTGGAAAATCCAGTCTGGTTTTCCCAGATTTTGAAAAGCAGGCAGTAAGGTATTTGCAAATAACGGTCATTACAGAGCGTTCGGCTCCCTGCTCCCATTTTGGGAGTCAGTGGCCCGGGCCCAGGCATGGGTGTGTCCCACAAGCGCTTGAGGTGCCTCTGCTGCTGTGCTGGGGTCCGCAGTTCTCTCCGAGAAACGCCGTGCCCGGGACTGCGCCGTGGCAGGCACCTGCGGCGGCGTTGTCTGGCTTCCCCCCTCTGCTTTATAAGAAGCCTTCTTCCCTGCAGGCTTTTGTCATTTGACACATCGCTGTCATAATTGCTGTCACTTGACCATTTCCCAGTGTCTTCACTGATCAGGAATGTTGGCACCTCGGTAGTTAGTGTCCTTGGATGTGAAGAGTTTACTTGGGAAATTTAGTGATCTGGGCTCCCTCCATGACCGCTGTGGCTCTGCGCATTGTTCTTCTCATTGTTCTCGTAATAATCACTTTCGAAGACCTTTTCCCTAGGTCTGAGAGTCTTTTCAAAACCGTCATCATCCCTGACTTTTCTGTTTCCTTTAGTTTTGTAAAATACTGCAGAGATCATTTAAACTAAACAGTCTTGGTTAGGTTGTATTATAGTGCCATTCATGTAATTTCAAGGGGTTCTGTTTTGTTTTTTAGTTATGTGTCTCATTCATTCAACTTTTAAAAAATTAATTTCTTTTCCAATTATGGTTGACATACAGTATTATTTCAGATGTGCAGACAGTTAGATACCTTACAGTGTGGTCACCCTGGGGCGTCGAGTAGTGTCTGACCCCTGCCTGGTTGTTACAACATTGTGCACTACAGGCCCTGGGCTGGACTTTACGTAAGGGTTTCCTTATCTTTTTTTTTAAAGATTTTATTTATTTATTTTTAGAGAGAGAAGGGAGGGAGAGAGAGAGAGAGAGAAACATCAATGTGCAGTTGCTGGGGGTCATGGCCCGCAACCCACCCAGGCATGCACCCTGGCTGGGAATCGAACCTGTGACACTTTGGTTCGCAGCCCGCGCTCAATCCACTGAGCTACGCCAGCCAGGGGTGGGTTTCCTTATCTTTGACCTCACTTTGATGTCGTGTTTCCAGGAGTCAGCATCAACTGTGGAAATGGTTTTCAGTTCAGTCTCAGGAAACCCAGACTGAGTCCGTGCGGCCTCTCTCTGCAGGGTGCGTTTTCTCTAAGCCGGACTTGATCTCCTGGATGGAACGAGGGACAATGCTGCTAATCAGAGACCAGGGCTGCTTACAGCGAGCCAGAGGGACACTGGGCCCTCCCGCTGACGAGCACTCGGACCTGACGAATGCTGGAAAGTCACTGCGTTTGGGTGAGTCTGGTGGATTCAGGGTCGTGAGTGACTTCATTTTCCTGGCCTTGTCTCCTGGATCTTTCTGGATAGTCAGCAGGACACAGTGAATAAGAAATATTGTGTTTTTTTGGATAATGTTATATACTTTTTTACTCAAGTGGGTAGCATATAGAGGGCGGGGCAAAAGTGGGGTTATAGTTGTTCTTATGGAAAATAATACAATAATGAAATAATGCAAGAATAAACTGTTTTACACACGCATGACTATAAACCTATGTTTGCCACACCCTGTATAAGAATATATTACTTTTTAGCCCTGGCTGGTGTGGCTAAGTGGATTTAGCACCAGTCTATGAACTGAGAGGTCGCCGGTTCGATTCCCAGTCGGGGCACATCCCTGGGTTGTGGGCCAGGCCCCCAGTTGGGGTTAGAGGCTTGAAAGACGGAACCAGTTGACATTGGTTCTGTCGTACATCAGTGTGTTTCTCTCCTTCCTTCCTTCCTTCCTTCCTTCCTTCCTTCCTCCCTCCCTCCCTTCCTTCCCCTCTTTCAAAAAAAAATAAAATCTTAAAAAAAGAGAGAATATATTACTTTTATAAAGAGAGAAGTTGTGTTTATTTCATCTTTCAAAGATTACAACCCCGAAGGAGATGGGAGTTGGCTGGAGAGAGCAAGTGCAGGATCCGCTTGTCGCGTCCTGCGGACGGTCCTCCCTCCCCATCACGCCGGTGTGTCCGCTGGCAGATGGAGAAAGGAAGTGAAACCCACGTTCCAATTTTGTACAGCATACTTTGTTCATTGTGCAGATTTTTAGAACTCGGGGGTTTTTGTGTTTTTTTTTTTTTTAATTCATTTTGAGGGATTCCTTTTTGAATTCCTGGCATCATAAGGAAAACATCTGAGACATCTTAACACTTGAAACAGTTAAGGGAATATGTCATTTTTTAGAGTACGTCAGTGCTTTGCTAAATGGACATCTCCTCAGTCCCTGGGAGGGAAGGACCCTGGGGGGGGAGGGGATTTGGACCCAGGGAGAGTGCGCAGGCTCCAGCCGGAGGACAGAGAGCTCCCGAGGGCTGCGATTCATCTTACCATCTGCCCATTCATTCGTGTAACCTGTACTGAGCCCCTCCCGTGCTTAGGACTGTGTAACGTACAACTTAGGCCAGGCAGGGGGATATATTGCATACTGTAAACAGTCTTCCCTCTCGGAGTTGATTGTCTTAGTGACCTTTTTTTTAAAAAAAGATTTTATTTATTTATTTTTAGAGAGGGAAGGGAGGGAGAAAGAGAGAGAGAGAGAGAAACATAAACATGCAGTTGCTGGGGGCCTTGGCCTGCAACCCAGGCATGTGCTCTGACTGGGAATCGAACCTGCCACGCTTTGGTTCGCAGCCCACGCTTCTTAGTGACCTTTGACGTGGCAGTTAAGTTAGTCAGCTCTAGAATAAGATTGCACACAATTTAATAAAGTAGTAAGTGGCCATGATAGTGAGTGCTCTCTGGATTTAGAGGCGGAAGAGCAGAGGGGAGAGAGCAGCGGCCCAGGAGGACTTGCGAAGGAACTAGGGTTTAAATAGCGTAGAGTGGGCAGGTGTGGCCGGGCAGAGGGATTCGGCGGGTGTGGTTCCTGAGCTGAGGCTCAGAGGTGGGAGCAAGCCTGCGATATTTAGGAAACGGAAGACACTGCATACAGCTGAATGTTTTCCTGTAGGAGCTGGGGGTCGGGGATAAGTTGGTGTCCAATGATCCGAGGCCACGAATGCCAAAGGAGGGTTTGACTTCATCCTGTAGAAGGGGAGGAGCCTGGAAAGGTGTTTGGGCACCACAGAACCGCTTTGGTGGCCCTTCCTAAATGGAAATGTGTCCTCCGTGCCGGGTGGTACTCACCCCCTAGTCACGCTGCTCCTCTGTCCCCGGGGGGGAATAGGGAGCGAGGGGACAGGTGGGCGTGCTTCTGTCACCATCCAGGCAGCAGCGGCGGAGGGCTCCCTTAAAAAATGCCACGCTCAGGTTGGAAACAGCCTGTGTTCCTGTGACCACTGAGCGTATCAGAGTTCTTCTCTGGGGGCAGGCCCGCCCTTCCTGATAGGCGGGGTTTGCTCCGGGTTAAGAGATTTAAAAAGGGGGGCCTGACTTGGTTCATTGGGACGTGGGAGAAATGGTGGTTCTGAGGCCCAGCAGCCGAGGCGAGTGTCAGACTTGTCCTCTCCAGGCGCACTGGTGACAGTGGGATGCTGGCTCAGCTCCCTCTTTGCTTGTCATCGTGGCCTTTTCTTGGGGAACGTTAGGGACTTTGCTTACACCAGTCTCCTCCTTACAATCCAGGGGTTCGTGGAAAAAAGGGACTCCTTGCACAGCGTTCTTTGTGAGTTCAGTACGTTGCTATTTTGACATCCAGAACTACAGTTCCCGTTAGCGTGGCTTCCAGAAAACCTTTCCCTGAGGGCCCTGCTAGAGGGGGCGGGAGTGCCATCTGATGGGTGGTGGCTCTGTTCCCGCTCTTCCAAGGAGCCCCCACGCTGTGGCCGGGCAGGTGTGGAGGAACCAAGTGGTTGTGCACTGCTGGTGGGAACCACTGCTGGTGGGAACCACTGCTGGTGGGAACCACTGCTGGTGGGAACGTAAGCGGTGGCGCAGCCGCCGTGGGGGCCGGCAGCACGGGGACCCGTATGCAGGGGCTCCCGACCTGGGCTCCTTCCCTCGGGCTCTTTTGCCGGTTGTGTGTCCACCGATGATAAAACAGAATGTTATTCATAATAAATCGATACCGTTTCTAAATGATAAAAGAAAATAAAGAATATGACCTGAAGCCTTCCCATTTTGCTGTTTATTTCACAGATTTAAGGAACTGTTATATGGAACCGTTAGATTCTCAGCGAAACTGAAATTCTGCTCGCCCTCTGAGGGCCATCCACAGCTTCACAAATTTGCCTGCCATTTTTTTTTCATGCGCAGCCATTTCTTAACCTATCACGAGAGGATCTGGGTATCAAAGTTCAACTTACGTGTAATTTACCCGTGGCGGGCAGCTTTGGAAAGGGGTCTGGGAGGTCCCCTTTCCCACGCCGGTGGTGACGTGAAGATGGCCCTCGGACGCCACCGCAGTGCAGGCACATCACTGACGCGGGTGGCTCTTCTTTTTGTCTCCCCAGGTCACCGAGGAAGTCCCAGGGCCGAAGGAGAGGAATGCCATTTAAACAGTGTCCAGGCGCAGGGCCTGAGTGCTCCCTCACCAGGGGAGGAAACCGCAGCTTCACTGGGTCAAGCAGCCACCTCGAAACGTCGCCAAGACATGGAGACTCCGCGTACAGACCCTAATGTCACAGCATCTCTCCAGGAAAAGACGGACCCGGGGCATGAGGCGGGGGGTCCCCGGGGGCACCTGGAAGTCCCCCCAGGGCCAAGATCCCATTCCTGCTTCGTCTGCAGGAAGGTCTTCCCCATCCAGAGAGACCTGGCAAAGCACAGAAGGAGCCACCCCAGGAGCCAGCCCCGTGAGTCCCCGCAGTACAAGGGCCAGGCCGGAAGGAACGCCGACCTCCCGTGGGCCCGGAGGAGCCCGGGTGAGAAGCAGCGCCTCCAGGGCGGCGAGGGCGAGAGCAGCTACCATGGGAAGCGCAGCCTCATCGCCCACCAGGCTGCTCCCACGGGGCGGCGGCCCTTCCAGTGCCCTGAATGTGCCAAGACCTTTCGGCGCAAAGCCACTTGGGAGAAGCATTGGTGTTTGTGCAAAGGGGAGAGGCCACTTTCCTGCCAGCAGTGCGGCGAGGGCTTGGCCCAGCAGCGCAGGCTCTCTGAGCACGGCGGGGTGCACGGCGGGGAGAAGCCCTTGTCTTGTCTCGAGGGCACCCAGAGTGTCTCCCGGAAGGCCGCCGCACAGGCCCACCAGAGGGCACACAGCGGGGAGAAGCCTTTCCCGTGTGACCAGTGTGACAGGACGTTCTCCCGCGAGGCTCACCTCGCTGAGCACGTCGGAGCTCACAGCGGGGAGCGGCCCTTCCAGTGTCCGGAGTGCAAGAAAGGTTTCCGCCTGCAGAGAAGCCTGCGAGCCCACCTGGGGCAGCACAGCGGGGAGAAGCCCTTCCAGTGCCCGGACTGTGGGAGGGCCTTCTCCTGGAAGAACGCCATGAGGGCCCACCAGCGTCTCCACAGCGAGGAGAAGCCGTTCTCCTGTGCCGAGTGCGGCAAGAGGTTCACCCGGCCCTCCCGGCTCGCCCGCCACAGCCGCGTCCACAGCAGGCAGAAGGAGTTCTCTTGTGCCGAGTGCGGCAAGACCTTCCCTCGGCAGTCCAGGCTCACGGAGCACCTCCAGGTCCACGCCAAGGAAAAGCCATTCTCCTGTGCCCAGTGCAGCCGGGGCTTCCGCCGACAGTCCCACCTCGCCGAGCACAGGAGGCTGCACGGTGGGGAGGAGCTGTTCCGCTGTCCTGAGTGTGACAGGAGCTTCTTCTGGAAGGCCTCCGTGAGGGTCCACCAGCGGGTGCACAGGGGCGAGAGGCCGTTCGCCTGCAGCGAGTGCGGCAGGGCCTACACCCAGCAGTCTCAGCTGGCCGAGCACGCGAGAAGCCACAGTGGGGAGAGGCCCTTCCCGTGTCCCGAGTGCGGGAAGGGTTTCCGTCTCAAAGGAAACTTGAAAAGCCACCTGCTCCAGCATAGTGGCCAAAAACCATTCTCTTGTGTGAAGTGTGGCAAAGGTTTCACCCAGCAGTACAGGCTCACAGAACACACTCGAGTCCACAGTGGCGAGAAGCCCTTCCAGTGTCCACAGTGCGACAAGAGCTACTGCATCAGGGGAAGTCTGAAGGTCCATCTGCACACGCACAGCGGACAGAAGCCCTTCAGGTGTGCCGAATGCGGCAAAGGCTTCCTCCAGAAGAGAAGTTTGAAGTCCCATCTGCACCATCACAGAGGGGAGAGACCTTTTTCTTGTGATGAGTGTGGGAGGAGCTTCACGTACATGGGGGCCCTGAACACCCATATTGCTGCAGCACACACCAGGGAGAAGCCCATCGGCCTCTAGGTCGAGCCACACAGGCAGTGAGCAGTGGCGGCCGTTAGGTGGGCCCGCAGATCTGTTGGCTCTGGCTGAGGCAGGATGAAGAATTCACGGAACGCTGGCTTCAGACACACGGGCCAGCTGCGTACATAGTAGGCAGGGTGTGGCGCCTCCTTGACAAAGGTTCCAGATGATCCAGGCGCGACAGTCATCTCCCCTCTGTAATCGTCATGGGCAGGGCCTGCCAGTCGTGGAAGGAACGTCTTACTCTGTTTCATCCACTGGTGTGTCATCCAAGAGCAAGGTCAATCCCGTCGTTACAATCTGAACCCGCAGCCTCTGAACAAATGTGGCAGACAGAACTCTTGCCCCCAAACACCTCAGCTTGCTTTCCATTAGCAGGCTGCCTTGTGTGGTGGGAGTTTTCCGTTTTCTCTCATTGTGAATTTTCATTTTCTTGCAAATGGCTGAGAGGGCATCTGTGTCTTGGGGGCATTTTTCTACATTGTTCCGAATAAATGTCATTTACCATCTAATTTGTTAAAACGATGGCCACGTAGGTGTTACTTCCTCCTGGATTAATCTAAATCACCTAACAATCCACCATTGTGAGTAACAAGCAGCGGTATATCCTTAATCTCTCTGCATGTCCAGCAGTGTATCCGTTTCCCAAGAAACACCTTAATGTTGGGATCTCCGAGTTAAACACTGAAGGAAAAAATATTGTCAGTTCACAATATCTGTTTTTTGTTCTATGGCCTACTCTGTCACAAGGCAGTTCTCCAGCCTGTCCCAGCAAACCTTCGTCTGCCTGGTGGACTGTCCATCTTTAACATGATTCCTACAGAAACATAAAGGTTTCCTTCCTTAGGGATTTTCAGGGCCCACATAAATATTCTGTCTTTGTAAGCACAACCTGTGGCCAGTCACCTGAATCAGTCAGCTGGGATTAAGGGTGCCCCACGAATGAATCACGGTGTCTAAACAACAAGTAGCGGTACCTCCTCTGCCTGATGCTTTCCTGTAAGTGCAAGCCTCTCGCCGAGTCGATGGTGCCTTTGTGCAAAGGAAATGACACTTCCCTCTGGCCTGTGCCCGCGTGTATGGGCCAGATGTCAGCGCTGGCTGGCCTCTTATCCTTGTACCTCAGGACAACTCTTGCCTTTGCCTGGCGTACATGTTAAAAAGGCAGACCGGGGAACCCTCCTCAGAGGTAGTGAGTGAGAGTCTTCCCAGGTGCTCTTGTGCAAACTGAAGTTTCAGGACATTTGATCTAGTGAGTGGAGAGGCTGGAGGGAGGAAACTGTTCTTGTAACAGAGACTGGAAGTTACGTGGAAAAAATATAGCATTTACATTGTCAGAATTATGGGCAGCTTTTAGTTTTAAAATTTGCTTTATTTTTTATATATCTGTAATTTTTATTTTTTAAAGATTTTATTTATTTGTTTTTAGATGGGAAGGGAGGGTGAAAGAGGGAAACATCAATGTGTGGTTGCCTCTCACATCCCCCCTACTGGGGACCTGGCCTGCAACCCAGTCATGTGCCCTGACTGGGAATCGAACCAGTGACCCTTTGATTCACAGGCTGGTACTCAATCCACTTAGCCACACCAACCAGAGCTATGTATATCTGTAATTTTGCAAAGATTTTATTTATTTTTAAAAAGGGGAAGGGTGGGAGAGAAACATTAATGCCAATTGGTTGCCTCTTGTATATGCCTCAACAGGGGTGCTGAACCCCTAACCTAGGCATGTGTCCTGACTGGGAATCAAACCCCTGACCTTTAGCTTTGTGGGGTGATGCCCAACCAGCTGAGCCACTGTGGTCGGAGCTATATGGAATTTTTGAAAAGAAGATGTTTCAGGCAGGAATAGCAATTACAAATGCCCAGGCAGTGCAACCACAATGACTGTTCAGAGTGAAAGTGAATTTGAGATCTATTTCACGTTTAGGTTGTAAGACCACTACTTGGATTTTATAGACTATGACTCACACTCCTCATTTAAGTCCGGTCTGCAAGACTTTCTGAGGATAACCACTGACCTTCCTCGTCCTCACTGGGACAATTCTGAGGGGTGGCCTGCACACTCAAGAATGCCCCTCTGTGTGGATTCCCAACTGTCCACACAGGGGACCTGCCTGTTAATGCCCCTTGATTCTCTCACCTCCCTCGCAATCTAAAGCTGGGGTCACCTCGCAGATGACTGGGGTCGGCTTTGGGAGGAACTAAACCCTCGCGCTGCTTCTGTCTCCATCTCAGTGAAGTGTCCCCGTCCCTGTCCCTTCTCCATCCATTTCCACCTGACTCTGCATTGCCGCCTCGGTCTCCGTCCCCCTCCAGCTCTTTCAACTAGCCTCTGTCTCTCTCTGCCACCCCTGAGCCCCCAAGAGAGTGCGAGTGTCCTGTTTCCGACAGGTGGCCGCTATCCTGGCAGCGGGACTGGGGCTCTGGCGCAGGTACTCGCAGCTCAAGCAGCATTCGCTCCTCCCGGCCGCGGGGGGCGCTGTGGGGACGGGGCGTTGCCCGGCCGCGAGTCCCAGCATGCACTGGGGCGGGGCCTGCGCGTCGGGGCGGAGCGGGAGGCGGTGGGCGGGTCTGTGGCACGGCCGTGGGGGCCGGGCGGAACCACGGAGAACCATGGCCGCACCGGCTCCGGTAAGAGGGGTCCCTCGAGGGGACGCCCAGGTGCAGGGCGGGCCAGCGGCGGACAGATGGGGCGCTGCCTGGGGTCGCGCTAGACTCGGGTTGTGGGGTCCGACCCTGGACGGAGCTGGTGGCCGCCGCTCGTGGCACTCGTCCGTGGCCAAACACCTGAACGAAGCCGAGCGTGGGCTTGGCCGAGCCTGGGCCGGGGGCTCCCGGGCGCGCGGGGGGCGGGGGGGGCCGACAAGGAAAAGGCCGGAAGGAGGAGTGGGGCCGGCGACGTGTGTTGAATTCAGAGCGACTGTTTTGAAAGATTTAAGATTCTGCGCGGTTGAAGCGATGTTTGGCAGCGGCTGAAGTGCCAGCGTTCAGCCGCTAACGTGTCCAAGTTTGTGTTGAGTGTACCAAGGAAGGATGGTGATGGTACGTTGGAGGGGGTAGAAGAGGACATAAAAACTGGGGTACATGTTATTTCATTAGCGTTTTGTCGAAACCGAGTTTTACAGGGAGTGGCCATTATTTTTATTATGTTTTCCTATATAAACTTTATGTTGAGCGTTTTTGCTCATTCCTAAACAAATTCATGAGATCGTTCATTTTAAAATACTGTTTATCACAACAAAAGACATAATTCCTTGGATTAAATATAGAAAATGCAGTGCATTTATAGAGGAAATGATAGATAAACGGGAGCTATACTGCTTTTCCCATTTGGTGGGGCGGGGGAACACATTGAGTTGATCACTACTGTATGCCATTTAAAAATTACGTTCTATGTATATTAAAAGTCCAAACATAAAAAAGTGAAACTTTAGCCTTTTGGAAGAAAATGTAGAATAACCTCAGTGTAGAAAAAGATTTCATAAAACACAGAAATCCACTCCACATGCCTCATTTAACCTAAGAAAAGATTGATATATTTACATCGAAGTAAAAAAAATTATGTCTAGTATAAAACAGCATAAATAAAGTTAAAAGATTTAGACACACTCGGAAAAAGCATTTGCAACCTAATGTAGTTAACACTCAATGTACAAATTATATAAAGAAATCCTAGAAATGAAAAGACAGGTGACCTAGTAAAAATACAGACAAAGGATATGAAAAGGCAATTCACAGAAAACAGTGAGTGGGCAATGGTTAAAAGAATGGTTGAAAATTGTGACATTCACACAATGGAACCCTATAGAAAATTACAATAAATCTGTTCTCTATCAAAATGGACATCTCAAAATATTGAATGGAAAATCCAAGTTGCAGTATAATTATTTTTGTATAAAAGACAAAGCAGTGGTATATATTATTTATAGATATGTGTGCACATTAAAAATTAAAAACATGGACTGAAGAGTTACACATCCATCATACTGTTCGCTTCTCGGAAAGGAGGAAGCCAGGACTGAGCCCGAGAACAAGATTGAAGAGGGGACCAAGAGGACTTGAGCTTCATCTGTCATAAACAATGAAAGCTTTTTGAACATTTTTGAAAAACGTTTATTTTAAAGTAAGGAATTGGCCCTGACTGGTGTGGCTCAGTGTGCTGAGCGCTGGACTATAAAGCAAAGGGTCGCCCTAGTTTGATTCCCAGCCAGGGCACGTGCCTGGGTTGTGGGCCAGGTCCCCAGTTGGAGGTGTGTGGGAGGCAACCACACACTGACATTTTCCTCTCTTCCTCTCTTCCCCTCTCTCTAAAAATAAAGAAATAAAGTCTTTTTTTAAAAGTTGTAAACAAAAAATGAAGGAATTGCCCTGGCTGTTGTGGATTAGTGGGTTGAGCACCGGCCTGCAGACCGAAAGGTTGCCGTTTCTATTCCCAGTCAGAGCATCTGCCTGGGTTTCGAGCCAGCTCCCCAGTTTGGGGCTTGAGAGAGTCAGTTGATTGATGTTCCTCTCACACATCATGTTTTCCTTCCTGTCTTTCTCCCTCCCTTCCCCTCTCTCTCAAAATAAATTAAAAAAAATTTTTTTTAAAGTAAGGAATTTGCAGAGAAGAGGAGAATAAGTATATTTAACTGAGATTAAAACACACATTTGATTCTGCTGCAATACATCATGCAATTCTAAAGATCACAGAGCCAGGCAAAATCATGCAGTAAAAACCATAGCTGAGGGGAGAAGTGGTGTAGGGCACACAACGCTCAAAACTTCTGTCAGTGCAGGCCCTGCCTGGGTGTCTCGCTCAGCTGGAGCGTCCCGGGTTCGGTTCCCAGTCAGGGCACATGCAGCAAGCAACCAGTGGACACACGAATGGGTGCAGCAATGAATTGATTATTTTTCTGCCTCTAAAATCAATAATTTAAAAAAAAGTTTGTCAGCTACATGTTAAAAAGAAAAGATAGGAACCTTGGCCAGGCAGCATAATGTTGTTCCATTATGGGTTCGATCCCCAGTCAGGGCACATACAAGAATTAACCAATGAATGCATCAATAAGTGGAACAACAGATTGACATTTCTCTCTCTCATCCGTCCTTCCCCTCTCCAAAATAAATTAAAAATTTTTTTAAAGACCAAAAAAAAAAAAGGACAGGAACTTAATAAAAACAGCAGTTTTATGCATGTTAAATGATTAAGAAATAATATTTTTAGACCTACCTGACATTTGCTGTGGAAGTGGGTGTAAGAAGGAGTGGGGTTTGTGAGTTATGGGGAAGTCGTGGAAGGAAGATTATCTGAAATCAGCAAGTCACCACACCAGGTGTGGAAGGTGGGGCTCGTCACACAGGGTCAGACAGGTACTTCAAGGTGTTCACGTGTGCATTTTGATTATTCCTACTCAGTTCTTACAGTAGCAACTAAAACTCTAAAATTGCTAGGAATGAGCCTATCAATAATTCTATAATACCTATATGAAGAAAACTATAAATTTTATTAAAGCACATGAAATATCTAGATAAATGAAAGAGCATGTTTCTGGGAGGGAAGATCCCATATTTTAGAGATCAAGCTCTCCCAAAATTAATCCATATACTCAGTGTATTCCTATCAAGATCCCAATAGAATTTGTGTAAACTATGGCAAACTATGTTTTCTATTTATATAGAAGAGAAAATGGACAAGAGAAGTCAAGACAATTCCCTGTAAAAAATGATGGAGGTGGTGGAAGATGGCTCCGCCCTTTTAAATAGCAAAATATTCACTAAAACTAAGAAAGAGTGCAGTTTTGGAGCAAGAATAGGCAGATTTGCCAGTGGAACAAAAATGTGCCCAAATATAAATGGAAAACTAGTTTATAAAAAATGGTCCCAAATCAATGGTGAAAAAACAGACTATTCAATATATTTTATGTCTGTTGAATATCATTTTGGAAAAAGAATTATGTCCCTCTCTGTTATGAGAAATGAGTTTCATACAGGAAAAGTTCTCGTTCTGATAAAGCTGTAAAAACGTTATGTAGAATTCAGAAGAATATCATTTATAATTCTAGAATAGACCCAGGCTTCCAAATCCGGACACTAAATCCTGAAGCTGCAAAAGAGGTTCTAACAAGTCTGATAATACAAGGAAAAAGCAGTTAGAATATTTGTATAAACTTTTGATGTGGGAAAGGAAAGAAAAAGCTGGAAACACTATAGAGAAGACTTAGATTTTGAACTAAGTGAAAGGGTCAGAATAGCAGAAGATAAAGTCAAATTACAGTTGATACACTGGGAGAAAACATTTGCTACTCAGTTATTAACCCTAATATAAGATTATGAGAGCAAAGGGTATGAACAGGTATGCACAAAGATATGTAGACCCCCCCCCCCAAAAAGTATGAACAGGATGCTAAGCCTCACAGATTAATGCATAGTGAAACAGTGAAATACAAATTTTTTACCCATCACATTGGCAAAAAAAAAAACAACAGTAAGTCTTCAGGACATCCTGTGCTGGCAGAGGTGCGGTGATGTGTTTCATCTCATCAGCAAAGGCTAACGTGCTAGATCCTTTTTGGAACGTGGAAGAGGTTGTGGTTAACAACAGCACCATGTGCCTGGAGCAGAGGAGGAGTCGCTCCCCAGGGAGAAGCTGCCAAACAGGCAAAAAACGGTGTCAACTCCCCAAATCTAAAGGATGGGAAGGAGCTGGAGTCACTTGGAAGCAGTCATGACTGTGTGTGTGTGTTATGCATGTAATTTCAGCTACCTCTGACCTTTGAGGATATTGCCATTTACTTCTCGGAGCAAGAATGGCAGAACCTCGAGGCCTGGCAGAAGGAGCTTTACAAGCATGTGATGAGAACCAATTATGAGGTCCTGGCTTCTCTAGGTAAGCAGTGTTGGACTTGGTGGGTGAGTCTGCACCTGGGTCCTGGAACAGGGCCAGTCACTGGATGTTCCTACCTGTCAGGTAGCCAGAATTCTCAGAGATCAACTCCGCAAGGCACTTTCACCCGGTGTTCGTCTGTTAATACTCCCGTCAGCGCTGCCACTCCTTACGCAAGGGTAGACACCGTTACGTGAGAATACTGGAGACAGCATGGAATGTGAGGTGGGCGGGGGTGACAGAGAAGTACATTCCAGGGCACTCAGTCACTGCACGCTCTCAGGTTCCAGGACTGTCCACATAGGCGCATGCCTGGTAGCTCATACCCACGAAGCGCCTGGATCCTTCAACCTCGGGTGTCTGAGTCTGTCAGCTTTTCCGGCGGTGTCCACGTGCCTCCAAAAAGCTCCTGTTCCTTTCCCCGCAGTGAGATTTGGCCCCGCTGTCCCCTGAGCTGTCTCTGCGCGGTTGTGGGTATGGGTGTTCTTTTTAGTCTTGCTGCTGACAGGGTCTTTTGTGTTTCTTTTTATTATCAATTAAAAAATTTAAAAAACATGCCTTTCAGAAAAGCATCAACTGATAAAACTCTCTTACCTCATGCTTACCCCTCACTCAGTTCATTCCCCAAAGGCAACCACTTTTAACCATTTCTAGTCTAGTCCTTACTGTGGTTGCCTCCCATCCGCGTTAATTGTCATGCTTACAGTTCTCTTCTTTGATGTTTCATGTTTATGCTGCATTAATGAACTCATCATTCTGAAAAATGGGGCATTATCTCACTTATGCTATCATTCTTCTGTCTCCTTTTTCCCTTTCTCCCCTGATTTTGATAGTTTTTTTTTTCATGCCTTTATAACTTGAACAATGAATGAACTTCCAGATTATGGGCCTTCGACTTTACATCACGTGGCTCGGCTCCTTGAGTGTGGGAAGATGAGGAAGTTAGTTCTCCTATACCTCCTTCCCCCTCTCCTGCCAGTTGTACTGTTTCCTTTATGTTGCAAGTTTTCTAATATTTATATTTTGTTTCGTTACCATAATTTTTCCAGGTTCTATCTGTAGAGTATTTCTGAATCCTATCATCTGAGACATTACATTACTGTGTTTTCGTTATTACTGAAGAACCAGTGATTGAGTCTAAGAGAAATAAATATAATCTTAGGTCATTAACCACGTGCCACTCAGAAAGCACACCCTAAGCATCACAGTCAAGTGGGCGTGCCGTGGCACGTCCTCGTGGTTGTGTCTGCGCTTCCTCGGTGGCTCACCAGGCTGAGCGTCTTCTTTTCTCTTCTTTGGAGAAATGTCTGCTCAAATACTTCGCCCACTTTTGCACTGGGCTCTTCGTCCTTTTAGTGTCGAATTAGACGTGTCCTCTATCTGTTCGGGCATCCTGGGCCCTTATCAGACACATGATTTGCAGCTGTCCTCTCCATTCTGTGGGTTTCCTGGTGTCCTTTGCAGCACAGCAGCTTTCGGCTTTCATGAGGTCTGGTTGGTGTGTTCTTTTACTGCTTGAGCTCTGGGTGCCAGATCAAAGAAACCGATGCCTAATCCGGAGCCGCCACAGGTTCACCCCCATGTTTTCTTCTAGGAGTGTTATCGTTTCAGCACTCACACTTGGGTCTTTGACCTGTTTTGAGTTAGTTGTTCTGTATGGCGTGGGGTGGGAACCCACTTTTACATGGTTATCCGCTTGGCCCAACACCGTTTGTTGAAAAGACTACTTTTCCCCTATTGAATTCTCCTGGCATCTTTTTGGAAAATCAGTCTGCCATAAATGTTAGTTTATTTCTGGATTCTAAATTCTATATTTTCTCAGTCTGTGTGTCTGTCCTTATGTCACTATCACACTGCTTTGATTCCTGTTGCTTTTAGGATCCGTTTGTCAATTTCTATCCCACTCCTGGCCCCCCTTCCCACCAAACAAAAAGCAGATTGGATTTGGGGACTGTTGTCATTTTAACAATACCAACTCTTCCAGTTTATGAACATAGGGTATCTTTCCATTTATTTAGGACTTTAAATTTTTTTCAACAATATTTTACCGTTTATATTGTACAGGTCTTGCATTTTTTTATTAAATTTATCTCCAAGTATTTTACTTTTTTGGATGTTATGTAAATGAATATTGTTTTGTTTATTTTTGGGAAAACACTTTTATTTATTTAAAACTAGTTTTTAAAGATTTTATTTATTTTTAGACAGAATGGAAGGAAGGGAGAAGGAAAGAGAGAGAGAGAACAGCAATGTGTGGTTGCATCTCACAAGTCTTGCCTGCAACCCAGGCATGTACCCTGACTGGGAATCGAACCAGCAACCCTTTGGGGTTTGCAGGCCAGTGCTCAATCCACTGAGCCACACTAGCCAGGGCTGTAATCTGTTCTTTGACATCTCTTCTCATACATGGTCCTGAGTTAATTTTAAGAAATATAAAAACAACTCAGTGTGCCTTAAATGTCACCCTCGAGGAAACCAAGTTCCCGTTTGGCCTCTCTGTGCAGATGGCGGGCTTCCCAAACCAGAGCTGATTTCCTGCATTGAACGGGGGACGGAGCTCTTCAGGGAGTCGGGAGAGCCACGGGGATCAGGAGACGTAACTCGCAGCCCCGCAGATCCGCGTTTTGGCCCGGTTGTTGAGGGATGGCAGTTCCAGGGTAAGTATGAAGAAATCAGCCCTGCCCTTAATTAAGACGTCCCATTCAGGCTTCTCAGTTCTAAATCTCCGAGCTTGTCTCCTGCTTCAGCTGGGCTAAGGCTTGCCCTGGGCTGTGTTCTAGAGGAAGGAGGTTATGTACAGTGGGTAGGGGCGTGGGTCCCAGAAGGAGAGAGTGATGAGAGGGGACCAGAGACGAGGCCTTGCTGCCCGGCTTAGGGGCCGCTCGTGGGTCACACGGAGCCTCGGATCAGTCAGGGCCAGCCAGGAACACCGCTGCCGTCCCTCCGAGGCTCCAGGGTGCCTGCTCATCGCAGCAGGGTGAGCCTGCCGGTCCTGGGGTCTGGCAGTGGGGGATGCTCGCAGAGCAGGTGCAGCACGCCAGGCCCGCGCTGAGCACTCTGCACGTGTGAACCCGTGTAATTCGCCCGCAGTCTCACCGCCCCATTTCTACAGACGGGCCTGAGGCCCAGAGAGATCAGCTTGACGGGCGCTGCCGTGGACACCTGGGTTCCAACCCAGGCAGTCGGCTCCAGAGCCCCGGCCCACACCTGTGACCTGTCTCTCCCTCCTCTCTGTATTATTCTAAGAAGGTCTGTTCGGCTGAGCGTCAGCAGACCCTCACCAAATTCCTGGCCATGGAAGAGAGCCATCGGAAATGCACCCCGAGTGCAGCTCAGCGGAAACCAGGTTCCTGGGCCACCACAGGTCACTGTTACGGGTCCCGCTACTGGTGACGGGAGGCACTTAGTCATGCTGTAGATAGGAATTCTGACTGGATTTTTGGTTCCAATTTCAGGAAGCCAGCAGACTGGGAGTTCCGGAGAACCTGGACGCCATTTTCGGGTAGCATCTTGTGAGAGCCCCTGTTCCTCTGAACCCTTATCGGGAAATAGCAAAGATGTTTCCTTCAGGCCTGACCAAGGTGCCGACCTCGTGAAGCCAGGCGGACTTGATCCACGGGCTCTGCTCCCAGCAGTCCACCACTCCAGGGAGCTCCCGCAAAGAGAGAGAATCCCGAACCCCAGAGCTCGGGCTCCCCCAGACTCCCAGGAAGCACCCTCCAGGGAGGGCACCCAGCCCCCGCGGCCCGTCTGCAGGGAGAGCTTTTGGAAGAAGAACCCCTCAGAGAAGCCCCGCAGGAGCCACTCCAGGGACCAGCCACGTGGGGCCTGGGAGAAGCTGGGCAGACAAGCCGATCCGCAGCATCAGTGGAGCGCCCCTCGGGGACAGAGGCGCTCCCGCTGTCACGAGTGTGGGAGGAGCTTCCGCCTGAAGCAGGACTTGCTGAGACACCTGCCCGCACACGCCGGGAAGAGCCCGTTGCCGAGTCCTGACTGTACCGTGTGCTTCCACCACAGGCGGGCCCTTCTCGGCCCCCACCTCGCGCACCAGGGGCAGAGGCCGTCCCAGTGCCCCAGCTGTGACAAGAGCTTCCTCCCGAACAGCAGCGCCCAGGCCCCCCAGGACCAGCGCCGCAGGGCAGAGCCCGGCTCCCACCAAGAGGGCGCCGGGGCCTTCGAGCCCAGCAGTGGTCACTCAGGAGAGAGGCCAGGCTCCTGTCCAGCTCGTGAGGAGCACTGCCACCTGGCGGGGAGCATGGAGGTTGTCCTCCAGCGCTGCCCTGCCAGGGAGAGGCCATTCTCTTGCACAGAGTGCAGTAAGTGCTTCTCTACCAGGGCCACGCTCGCTAGCCACGTCCGGGTGCACACGGGAGAGAAGCCCTTCCCGTGCCTGGAGTGCGACAAGAGCTTCCGCCGGAGTGGCCTGCTGAAGGCCCACCAGCGTGTGCACAGTGGGGAGAGACCCTTCTCCTGCAGGAAGTGTGGCAAGGGCTTCAGCAAGCAGTGTAAACTCGCCGAGCACACCCGGGTGCACAGCGGGGAGAAGCCGTTCTGGTGTGGCGAGTGTGGCCGGGACTTCCGCCAGCGGGGACAGCTGCTGCGGCACCAGCGGCTGCACAGCGACGAGAAGCCCTTCCAGTGCCCGGAGTGCGAGCGCAGCTTCCGTCTGAGGAGCATGCTGAGAGCCCACCGCCTGCGGCACAGCGGGGAGAGGCCGTTCTCCTGCGGCCAGTGCGACAAGAGCTTCCGCCTGAAGGGCATCCTGAAGGCCCACCAGCGCACCCACAGCGCGGAGAGGCCCTTCTCCTGCGCGGAGTGCGGCAAGGGCTTCACCCACCAGTGCAAGCTCCGGGAGCACCTGCGCGTGCACAGCGGGGAGCGGCCCTTCCAGTGCCCCCAGTGCGACAAGAGCTTCCGCCTGAAGGGCATCCTGAAGGCCCACCAGCACACCCACAGCGCCGAGAGGCCCTTCTCCTGCGCGGAGTGCGGCAAGGGCTTCACCAGGCAGTCCAAGCTCACCGAGCACCTGCGCGTGCACAGCGGGGAGCGGCCCTTCCAGTGCCCCGACTGCGACAGGAGTTTCCGCCTCAAGGGGCAGCTGCTGAGTCACCGGCGCCTGCACACAGGAGAGAGGCCCTTCCAGTGCCCCGAGTGCGGCAAGAGCTACCGCGTGAAGGCGGACATGAAGGCCCACCAGCTGCTGCACAGTGGGCAGCTGCCGTTCTCCTGTGAGTGCGGCAAGGGCTTTGCGAAGCAGTCAAAACTCGTGGAGCACATCCGGACACACACGGGGGAGAAGCCCTTTCAGTGTCCCAAGTGCGACAAGAGTTTCCGCTTGAAGGCCCAGCTGCTCAGCCACCAAGGCCTGCACACAGGGGAGAGACCTTTCCACTGCCCCGAGTGCGACAAAAACTTCCGGGAACGGGGACACATGCTGAGGCACCAGCGCATTCACAGGCCCGAGAGGCCCTTCGCCTGTGGCGACTGCGGGAAGGGCTTCATCTATAAGTCTAAGCTTGCCGAGCACGCCCGAGTGCACACGAAATCCTGTCGGGCCCCGAGTGGGCCCGACATCCAGAAGCGGCTCAGCCAGCTGTTCGCGATGATCGAGGCCGACTGGAGCTGAGCCGCCGGAGCCGTCAGCGGGTGGGTGGAGAGGGCCTGGGGGTCGCCGTGGCCAAGCCACTGCGGCACAGGTTTCAGGAACAGGGGCCCTTGTCTGAGCCAGAGTGGAACACAAGTTAGGAGTGTGAGAAACCACAGAGGGGCTTTCTTTTCAAAATCATCCCAGTTGTATTTCCTACCTGTTGACAAAAAGACCCATTTGTTCTTCCTGCCGTCTTACGTGGTGATTTCCCCCCAAAGGCTTAGCTAGCTCCGGAATCTGGAGCTCAGATTTAAACCGGAGATCCCTCCAGCGCCGGCTGCTGCCTGTCAGCTCCCCTTCTGTCTTCTCACTCACAGTGCGGTCCTAAACTGGGGGTGAAGTCCAGCGCATTTGGTTGCAGGCCTAACAGGACATTAGATTTGGTGTAGATTGATTTATTTGAAAACTGATGATGATAAAAGGAGTTCTCCAAAGTATAGTTTATGTGAGTGCTGAAGTTTCCACAGCAGATTCCACAGTGACCATAACTAGTTCCCCCAAGAAAAAGCTGCTAATTTAACAAAGTTTTGCCTAATCTGAGTTGAAGAAACATAAAACTGAAGGTGCCGAGAAGTGTGGGACTAGAATTTAGAGGAGTTTGGGAGAGGAGGTGTCGATTTGGGAGTTCTGGGACAGAGATGCCCCTTGAAGCTGAGGGAGTGGACGAGGTCCCCATCCATGGACGGAGCGACTGAGCAGACGACTAAAGTCCAAGTTCAGATGAAATAGCAGGCCACAACAGCCTAGTGTAGAGCGTTTTCGAGCAAATGTTGTAAGTAAACACGGTACCAGTAGAAATCCAACAAAAGGCTGCGTTTGGTACATTAGGTGAGGGCTCTGTGAGCACAGAGTGTTTATGCTACAGGGAGAGGGTTGGATTTCACGGAGAATGCTGACTTTGAGAGAGTTCACATTTCGTGTCACAGAATGGCTGCCCTGGAATTCTGAGGAACTCAGTCAAGTGCAATAGACATTACTGTGAAACAATATATCACAGATGATTTTCTGTGGAACACTAGCTTCAAATATATATATAATATCCACTGTTGCCCAGTGGACTGAGCGCCGGCCTGTGAACCAAAGGGTTGCTGGTTTGATTCCCTCCCAGTCAGGGCACATGCCTGGGTTGCTGGCCAGGTCCCCAGTTGGGGGCTGTGAGAAGCAACCACCCATGGATGTTTCTCTCCCTCTCTGTCTCCCTCCCTTCCCCTCTCCTCTCTCTAAAAATAAACAAAATAAAAAATTTTTTTTAAATATTCAGAATATTTGGAGAAAGCACTGTTATTATAAATAAGAACATAATTTTATGAAAAAGGAAGCATCTAGAGATAAAAGTAAGTTCTAAGAAGATAAAAGAAAAAAGTAATTGCTAAAATAAAACACCTTATACTGGGATTAAAGAAATCTCTCAGGATACAGAACCCAGTATCCAGCAGGTAGAAGATAAGGAAGGAAATGGAAGAAACTGAATTGTACAAATACTAGCCTTTTGCCCATTTTTCTGTAGAATTTTTGGTCCTTTTATTTCAGTTTGTAAAAATTATATAAATCATAAGTGCACATACGGTGTAAACGTAGGGAAAGAGTTGGGAGAAAGGTGTTAGGCAAATCAAGGGGAAAAAGTACACCAAAAAAATTGCTTTAGGAATTTAGAACTATAGGGGCAGAAAAATTTTTTCCCACTCTAGTGTTACATGTGAGGGTGTAGGTGTAGCAGCTGCAGGACAAGAAGCCGCTCCCAGAAGGAGATAAAGGAGTTACAATCCATTCCCCGAACAGTACACATTCCTGTTGACCAGGGGCCAGCCTTCCTAGGGAGTGGTGGGAGAGCCACGTATTGACACCGCGATAACAAATTTTACTAACCAACCCTGACCCAGCATTAGTTTAACTTTTCTGTTTGCCTCCTTTACGGCCCACCCCACCCCTCCCAAGTTCCTCATAGATGCTGGGGGAGTTGCCCTGACCCAAGGTAGACTAAATCTTGCCTGAAACAGTGAAAACCCACCGTCGTAAGCGGGTGGGTGGCGGGAGGTGGTTGTAGTGAACCAGCATGTGCACACGCAATTTCATGTTGAAAACGGACAGTCTGGAGTAGCAAAAATTTGAGGGGAGAATACAGTATTACGCATGACCCAATTCCCTGACTTACATGCCGATCCATTTTAGATCCAACCTCGTGTAACCACAAAAGGAAGGAGGCAGCCCTGTTAGCGTGTCCTAGCTGCGCTAAGTCCAGTGTTCAGAGCCCGGGGCCATCAGGACGCTGTTCAAAAATGCAGCACTATCGGGCGACGCGGGAGGCTGTTTGGTGCTCCTGCCGGCAGGTGGCGCTGTAGAAGCCGAGTCCACGCTCGGGGAAGGCAGTGGGAAGGAAACGTTCCCAGGGCAACGGCCGCCACGGGGCGGGGCTGGCTGGCACAGGCTCCGCCCTCCGGGGTTTTCCGCCTGCCCGGGTCTCCCTCCCCGCCCCCCCGACCCCCCCCACCCCCGACGCAGAGCTGGGCAGCGGTGGGGTGTCTTGGCCTACTGAGACTTTGCAGGAGCCGTCAGGTGGGAGTGGTGATTTCTAAGCCGGCAGACAGGTCGGTCCGTGGTGGCAGGAGGACGGAGCCGGCTCGGGCTGTCCAGGCCGCGGGGAGATGCTGTCCGGTGTGCTCGGACCAACTCTGAGATCTGCCGCCCTGGCGCAGCCGACCCGAGCTGGCGCGCTGGGGCCAGGGAGGGCGCTGTGGGGAAATCTGAGCACCCACCCGCACACCGAGTTCCGTGAAGCAGACGGCTTTTTTTATCTTTACCCATCCAGCCTGTGGCCCCCAGAGGGCGCTGTGCGAACACTTGTGGAATCAGTCACTGGCTTGAGAGCCCTACAGACACTGATTTTACAGTCAACTCAGGGCTTTCTGAGTGTTCTTGTTCCTGAAACTCAGCTTGTGAGTTGGGAATACTGTTAGTGAGACACAGAATGGAGGGAAGAAGAACAGAGGACGTTATGGCTGAGAAAGGGACAAGAGTCCCATGCGGGGCGGGGATGGGGGGTGGGACGCATATGATAGTACAATACCAAATGGGACTCCCATTTAACAAGTTCTGTAGAAAATGATGCCGATGGTTGCAACCCTTATTTAAGTCTTAAAGGCCCCCAGGGGTGACAAGAACGGAGTTTCCTGATAGCCTAAATTGACAATTTCTTATTGCCCTTTTTTTCTGATGCAAAGACAAATAAATAAGTGGTATTCAGGGTAGAACCCATAGAGATGGTAACCCCTTGTTTCATGGACGAGTAAAAGGAGTTGCAGACAGGCTGAAGTGATTTGCTCCAGGTCACGTGGGTCACTGAGAATGCAGCGCAGGTTTCTGGAGTTCCAGTTCTGTGCTCTCCCTCCTCCCCTTCAACAACTGTTTCCTGGGACTTCTTTCCTTTAATAGATATTCATTAATAATATTCACAGTATTGCCTCTCTTGGACTGTGGCTGCCCTAATCAAATGTCTGCCCCACATTTTTCAGGCTATCGGGAAGCTATGGGGCCTTTTTCTTCCTCCCGTTTGACACCTTCTTCTGGGGAAAGTGAGCGATGTTTTGATTTTGGGTGCAGACGGTTCATTGATGATCTGTCATTTCTTTCTGACATTTCTAATGTGTTCTTGGGGCAAATAGTTTTCAGCGTAAATTTCGTATTGTTGGAGTGAAAAGCAGTACCAATTGTAGAGAATTCTTCAGATGTAACTTTCTATATTTCTTTTTTATAAGCACATGAGTGTTTTTAAGATATCATACAGAAAACATTGAAGACAGTTCTATGCAGATTTTATCAGGCAAGCAGAACTATGTAACATGTATACATGACTATGTCCCACAAGACTATACATTGCTTACATGACTGTGTCCTGTGGTTTATGCTCAAATGTTCATTTAATGAAACTATTGCCCTGGCTGCTGTGGCTCAGTGAATTGAGTGCTGGCCTGCAAACCATAGGGTTGGCTGTTTGATTACCAGTCAGGGCACAGGCCTGGGTTGTGGCCGGGTCCCCAGTAGGGGGCATGTGAGAGGCAGCCACACATTGATGTTTCTCTCCCTGTCTTTCTCCCTCCCTTCTCCTCTCTCTAAAAATAAATAAATAAAATCTTTTAAAAACTAAAAAAGGAATAATTTTTTAAAAATAAATTATTTATTTTAGGTCCTGTTTCTCCGGTTAGAAATGAGTGTTTGCCGAGGTTCCGATGGCTGACTTCTTTATGCATTCTCCCCACTATGCCTATAAAACAAGGGCATATTTACTCAGTGTCCCACCTCTTCCTGGGTATGAGTCTGCTTTGTTTGCAGCTTCTGTTAACTTTTGGAAAGAGGACCAGCGAAACAATCACAAAGTCTTCCTGGTATTATGTCACCAAAGCCTTGCCTGTTTCGCATATTGAAAAGTCTGGCTTCTCAAGATCCGTTTCAGAACTCCTGACCTGATGTGGACAAAGGCAGAAGGCTTTTAACCATTATCGGCGAGGACAGGTGCGAAGCCGTCCTGAGACGAAAGGAACCGTGTCCACAGGTCCAGGGGGAGCGCCCTTCAGTCCTGTGGCCGGCCACCTCTTTCTGAGCACAGGAGTAGGAGAACTGATGAGGATTGAAAGGACTTTTCAATAGCCCTGGCCTGTGAGCTCAGTGGGTTAGAGCGTCATCCCAACACCCCAAGGCTCTGGGTTTGATCCCCGGTCCGGGCACAAACAGGAACCCACCAATGAACGCATGAGTAAGTGGAACAAGAAGTCACTGTTTCTCTCTCCCTCTCTAAAATCAATAATTAAAGAAAGAACATTACACATGTGTGATGAGGAACATCTGTGAGATTGATCTGTCTAGTCATGACGTTTAAATTTGAGAGTAGTTCCTGAAATCAAAGACCACACAGGTTCCCTCAGGTCTTCCTTCTGTTTGCTGCTTGGCTGGCCTTTCCTGGCAGCCGTTTTCTTCACCAGCAGGATCCCCTGCCCCACCCATTCAGTGACTTAAAGTCATGGATATTTATTTATTATTTGATTTTTTTCCTTTTATTGGTTCTAGAGAGAGGGGATGGAAGGGAGAAGGAAGGAGAGAAACATTCATGTGAGAGAGAAACATCAATTGGTTGCCTCTGGCACACGCCCCGAACCTGCAGCCCAGGCCTGTGCCCCGAATGGGAATCAAACCAGCGACCTTTTGGTTGGTGGAACAATGCCCAGCCCACTGAGTCCCACCAGCCAGGGCCACATATGTTTCCTTTGAAGTCTCTTTTGCAGATGAAGGTGCAGCCATGATTCAGTGAGTCATTCACATAGCGGTAACAACAGGTTAAACATAGAGTGTAACTGTCCAGAAAACTATCTTCTTCCCTCATTCTCTTAGAGTTTTCATGCAAGGAGAAGAGAAAACGACCTGTACTTTTACTGCTTGAAAAGCATGTCAGCACTTCCTTATTCTATTTGACCTGCGTGGGCGGGGGGGAACACCCTCTTCCCTGCTGGATATGAATGAAAAGGGGGGAAACGGAACCAAGAGCCAGGGAAACCTGTCCTGTGACCATGACTCGAACTGCCGGACCTTACCCCACCCCTGGACTCTACAGGTGGGGGAACCAGGGAGATTGTCTTATCATCTGAGATGTGTTGGAGTTGAGTTTTCTCTCGCAAAATCAAGAGTCCTAAAAGACATGGAAATTGTTAACAGAATGAGGGTTTGCACATAAATGGATCCTGAAATATGGACTTGGTGGCATAGAGGAAGCAGGATAGGAGGAAGACATGACTGTCCTGCTCTTAGAAGTTGATGTCTTTGTGATGTAGTGACTGTCAGCTGTCGTATCTTGGGACCCACACCATGAAGTGCTAACACTTAGCACTGGGGGCTTAGTCGGTAGGAAAAAGCATTCAGGTTGCAGCGTGCTGGCTTCAGCCCTCCGTAAGTTTCTAGGAAAAAAAAAAGAGACAGCCTGGGGCTGTGAGGACCCTGATAGTTTTCGAGAACACAGGGCAGTTATTCTGGGGACTGTCCCCCAGTTTGTGTGTGTCGGACGGGATTCCTGATTCGGGTTAGGTTCCTCGTCCTCGCGGGGATAGCCGAGAAGCGATGCTGTGTTCTCACCGCGCCTTGCCGGGCAGCACGTGGCTCCGGTCTGTTCCGTTACTGAGGAGGGTCACACAGATCGCTTAACTAAGGTCATGTCTGCCCGACTTCCCCACTCGGAAGTTGCTTTTGTCCCTCTTTGTCATTAACAAGTGTTCTGTGATTTTGTGCAGAGGTACTGTGGAAATCATGAAAAATATCCCATTCCTCATCAAATTTTCTATCTGTGTAATAGCTGTGCGGACTCATCGTTTCCTCTTTTATCCAGTGGATAATAATCTTTGTCAGTGTTTGTTCTGATGCCCTAAGTGTCCCAAATTTGGACAGCGGGAACCCTTTAGACAGCCTTCCGTGTTGCTCTGGCATGTTGCCCTCATCTTTGGGCCACTTCCGGGCTTTCTTTGGACCACGTTGTTCCAGGCTTTTCTTTTGTTTTTCCTGTCCCGATGCTGAAGTTGGTCGCTTCTCCAAGGAGCCCTGGTTCCTTTGAACAGAAAGTGGGTTAGAAGGCAAAGGGGGTCTGGGACTAGGTGCGCTCACCGATATTTGGGAGTTGCCACTCCCAGGCCCTCTCAGTGGGCAGAGCAAGGACATCTCTACATATCTCTCTCACACACACACACACACACACACACACACACACTTACATTTCCAGTGTTTTCCACTTTAAGAACTGGGAGGGGGGGAGGTAAATGAAACCTAACGGAAGCAGAAGAAAGGAAATAAAGATTACTGTGGAAATGAATATACTAGAAAACAGAAAATCAATGAACTCAAAAGCTCCTGAAAAAAGACAAAAATTATTAATATCAGCAATACGACAGGGGATCTCACTACAAATTCCAGTTATTTGAAGTGCAGTGGGAGAATATTATGAACTTAATGCCAACAAATTTGACAACTTATGTGAAACAGGCAAACTCCAACCAAAGCTCACTCAGGAAGAAATAGAGAACCTGTATAGCCCTATATCTATTGTAGAAATTTAATTTATTGTTCTTTCCCATGAATAAAATTTCAGTAGAGAATTCTAAACATTTAAGAAAGAAAAAAAATCAGCCCTGGCTGGTGTGGCTCAGTTGTTTGGAATATTGTCCCGTACACTGGAAGTTTGCTGATTCAATTCCTGGTCAGGGCACATACCTGGATTGTGGGGTTTGGGTTCTGGTGGGGGTGTGTACAGTAGGTGGCTGATGGATGTTTCTCTCTCCCTCTCTCCCCCTCTTCCTCCACTCTAAAAAAAATCTATAAATATATCCTCAGGCAAGGATTTAAAAAAGGAAGAAAGAAAAAAATCAACTCTACACAAAGTCTTCTAGAAAATTAAAAAAGAGAGAATAGTGTTCAACTCATTCTATGAGGCCAGCATTGTAGTGATATCAAAGCCAGAGAAAATACAACAAAAGAATAAAATTGAAGACCAGTATTCCTTATACATAGATGTATCAACTCTTACTAAATTCTGATCCGACAATATATAAAAATGATTAACATATCATGACCAAGTACAGTTTGTCTCAGGAATGCAAGATTGGCTTAATTTTGAAAATCAGCATAATGGTTTATATGAACAGACTTAAAACAGGAAAACCCACATGATCCATTCTTGATTTAATAAAGAAACTCTCAGAAAAATAGGAATTGGAAGTGACTTTCCTCAACCTCATAAAGAGCATCTACCAAAAAACTATAGCTGACATATATATTAGGAAAGACGGAATTATTTCCATCAGATCAAGAGCAAAGCAAGAAAATCCACTCTACTTCTCTTTAAACTTGTATTGGAGGTTTTGGCTGTGAAATCAGGAAAACAAGAGAAATGACTGGCATCCATAACGGAAAAGAAGTTGCTCTGACTGGTGTGGCTCAGTGGGATGGGCATCATTCTGCAAATCAAGGGGTCACCAGTTCAATTCCTGGTCAGGGCACATGCCCGGGTTGCGGGCCAGGTCCCCAGTTTGGGGCATGCAAGAGGCAACCAATGGATGCTTCTCTCGCACGTTGATGTTTCTCTCCTCTTTCTCCCTCCCTCCCTCTCTCTAAAAATAAATAATTTATTTTTAAAAAGGCAAACTGTCTTTATTTGTGGATGACATAATTTATGTAGATGACCCCATGGAATCTACAACAAAACTACCAAAACTATTGTTAGCTTAGCAAGGTTTCAGGATACAAAGTCAATAAACAAAAAACAATCATATTTCCATATATTTACAATGAACAATAGGGTTTAAAAATTTTTTTAATGCACTTTAAAATGGCATAAAATAGCCCTGGCTGGTGTGGCTCAGTGGACTGAGTGCCGTGTGGCAGAAGAGGAGAGCACGTGTTCAAACTGACCTACAAAGATAATGCCATCAGAATGGGGCGTTCCCTACTCTGCCCTCCAGTAGGGTGTCAACCTTCGCACGCTTGGGTTTCCTGCCTGTAACAATACAGCAGTACCTACTGCTTATTTGTCCCCCACTGGTGCCAGACATCATATTCATAAGAATAATTATGGCCCTGGCTGGGTAGGTCAGTTGGTGGAGTGTCATACTGATATGCCAATGTTTCCAGTTTCATCCCTGGTCTGGGCACACACAAGTATCAGCCAATGAATGCGTGGGTGGGTGGAACAACACATCACTGTTTCTCTCTCTCTCTCTCTCTCTCTCTCCCTCTCTCCCTCTCTCCCTCTTTCTCTCTAAAGTCAATCAATAAAAAATAAGAATGATTATGACTTAAAAAAACAACAACCCTGATCATGTTAAATGGCAGCCCTGAGGACAAGCCTCGGGCCAGTTCTATGACTTAATAGTCTCTCTGTACTCATAACCAGTTGGAGATCTTGGAGACAGTCACAAAAATAGTGTCACTCTCCCTTCTCACCCTCAGCACAGTGGTCTCCCAGCCTGCTTGTAGCCATAACCAAATCAGATGAGATTTAGGGATAAAGAAAAAACAAAGAGCTTTACAACTTGAAAAAATAATGTTTTGCTATTGAATGAACTTCTGTTGCTATACTCTATATGCTTCTGAAAAGTGCATACTACTTTAATTTCACAAGTAGTACAATAGTGATTTCATAGAGAGGTTTCCTCCTACACCTTGCATCAGCAGCGTCTTAGTGAAATTGGTTGTACTTGTCCCACATCTGGGTATATGGTGCTCTCACTCCTCTCAGTTTAGCAAGGATTGATAGGAAACTACCATGAATAACAAAAAAAATTCTGGTTGGACTCCATCTTTTTGAAGTGTTCTTTAAAATTATATTGAACAGTTCCATATTCTGCATTCATAGCATTCTAAGAAATCACTTAATGTATACTCTGGCGTTAAGCTATGCTCTGGCCTAAATGTCTTCCTGCCCTACAAAAATGAGGGGAAACCATCAGGTTCACGCAGCTCAATAAGAACATATTAAATTAAAATTTTCTAATTGCTAAAGCCTGTGAGAGCCTGGCTTTCTTTCTTCCTCACTTAATAATCTGTATACACAGAAAGATGCTCCTACTCTTGAGGGTTCCCCCCCTCGTTCTTGTTTTATAACTGCAGGCATACTAATCCTAGGCATTAAAGAAATATCAAACCCTAATACATACCACAGCCTTGACATTCAAAAATCATTACCTTAACCTAGTTTTTTTCTCCTAAATTGTCAGGAGGGAAAACCTCAAGACTATATTTAGGCTTTTGTAAATCCCTAGGCTTGCGTATTCTGGTATTTCTGGTATTTTGCAGAAAATCACGAGAGAAATAAATAACAGGCAAAGTTTAGACACTCATCTGATGGCATATTCATAGATGAAACCACGGAGAGAAGCTTCCCCAAATCCCAGTTCCGGATTCCCTCAACTGCATGCTCATCCCCTCTCCAAGCCCAGTATGTGTTGTAACCCAGGAAAGAAATGCTTTTATTTGCTTAAGGAGAAAAAAGAAAACAGGAAGCCCAAGAGTGGAGAGTCTCGGTCGCTTCTTATCAACAGACTGGTTCGGATCCCTCTCCCAAATCGATCCCAGCCTCTAGGGATCCCAGTGGGCCGAGCTGACAGCCCCTCTCTCCACCGCTCTTTTGAGGACACGTGTTCTTCCTGCCAAGCTCTGCCGCCTTGCACGAGCTCCGCCCTGCGCCGTTTTATAGGCCCCGCCCACCTCGCCGCCGGCCAATCGCAACAACGACCCCGCCTCTCTGGCTCTGGCTTGCCGCCTTTGTTCTCCCTCTCTCCCTCGTTCAGCCTGTGCGCTCCGGGAAAACCGAGTGGCAGCTGCTGATTGGTGGTCGCGGCACGGCCAATCAGAAGGGGGCACCTCACGTTAGGACTCGGAGCTTTAAACGCTCGAGTCGCGGGCGCGCGGGGGAGGCTGGGGAGGAGGGCGGTGCGACTGTGCACGGACGCGCAGCGAAGCTCACTCGGCTCGGGTCTCTGATCCGGCTGCGATTGGCCGGCCCTCGGCTTCCCTTGCCCCCAGCCAATCACCTGCGAGGACTTCCTGGGGGGGTTGCTTTGGGTCTCCTGCGTTTCGACCGCCAGACCAGACCCCCCCAGGTCCAGGTAGCTCAGCAGCCGCTGGCGACTGGAGGCAGCACTCGTACCGCGGTGATGAGGCCCGGGAAAGCTTGCCTGCTGGTCCTGCTCCTGGCGCTGACGCAGCTGCTGGCCGTGGCGAAGGCCGGGGAAGAGGACGGAGGTGAGCGGCTGGGCGGTGGGCCGGGCCTGCGGGCTGGAGAGCGCGGCGCGGCACCAGGGATGGGTGCGACCTGGGACCGGTGGGTTCCGCGCGGAGCCTCTCCGGGACTGATGCCGGCGCTAACTTGCTGGAGTTTAAGGGGCGGTGGCAGGTGGCCAGCATCGCATAGATTTCTGGAGAGCAGCACCGTGAAGGGGCCGGCGCTGCGGGGCCTCTTTGCAAGCCCCCTGCCACGGAGGCTTGGACCGGACGGGGTGCAAAGTGGCTTCTGTTCAATTGGCTCCTTCGTTCTGATTCTGCTCAGATTTTCCTGAGGTCCAGGTTCCCGAGGAGAAGAGTTAGGGAATTGTTTAAAATTTCCAGGAGAACGCGCCCAGGGAGTGTGAAGGAGACGGAGCCACTGATTTTCAAATAGAATTCATAGGAGGCTGGGGAGCCGCGGTCAACTAGCATTTTACTTTTTAAAAAATGTAGATTTGGAAATAAGTACCCCAAGGGTTCTGATCTGAGGGATAAAGGGATGGCTTGGTTTGCATCTTTTGAAATCCGAGGATACCAGTGCCTCAGGGAGCATTTATTGAGCACCTAGTACGTGCCAGTCACTGCTTCTGGGTTCCGGGAGTCTAGAATGAGGGGTGTAGTCGCTGCCCGAGAAGCGCCCGCCCTCGCACGAGCGTAGGGCTGCTACTAGTCATTGGTCCTGCACTCTGCTTTGAAATCAGCCAGCTCAGAACAAGTGGATAAGAGGACTTTGAGAATTAGAACGCGCAAGGCACGAAAAGAAAGCTACTCCTAGAGAACAGGGCATCCTGTTACTGGTTTCAGCTTTCCTCCTTGCTGGGCTTTCTCCTGATGACTAGTTTTTTTTCTTTTTTTCTCCCTAGTGAGTTTCCCTAGTGAGTTTGTTGCAATATAATAACACCCCTTTTCAAATATTAGTGAGTAGGAAAATGTGAACTTTATGCTCTTTCAAGCAGATTGAGTAACTTCTCTGGGGTCACTGAATCAAGAAGCTTTACCCAAAAAGAAAATGAAGTAAAAGCCAGTGCCTAGTGGAAAAAAATGCTTGCCTAAAGGGACTAGATAGAAGTGTGGCCTTACAAGTGTGACTTGGGACCTTTACCCAAATCATCAGATGCTTATTTAAACACAGAGTCCCAAAATATACAGAAGCAGAAGTGGCGGGGGTGGGGGTGTGTCGCTGGGGGCATTTTAAACAAGTTCTTCATGGTTCGTAGGTGGAATAAACTTCGGGAGGCGCATTTAAGTTTGAGGACCAGTGGGGATGGAGGACACTGTTTGGAATGTAGCTGAAAGTTAAAAACCACTTGGACATCAAGGGCTACTAATAACCAGCACGTTTATCATTTAGGTCACAGGTCACTGAAGCAGTGGGGGCCCTGGGAGGCAGTTGCCTCTGGGGTGAGCCCAGGAACTCTGGGTTGTCGTGGCCAAGGCAGGGTCTCCCACAGTCGTCCTCTGGGGTGGGGTGGCGCGGCGCTTCTAGCCTTTATCTGGACTCTCTCCCATCCTTTGGGCATCCCTGGCCCTTCCCTTTCGGTGCCTGCCGCGGATAAGACTTTTCCTGTGGATGTAGTCTGGGGCCGCGCTTTCCTCTGCCCCTGACGTTCCGAGTCCATAGGGCTTTCGGTTGTGCTTGTCTGCTTCCTACATTGTAGGTTCAGACAGCGCAGTAGTGCCTGGGCTCTAAATGTCCCCCAAGAATGTGGACACTAAACAGCGTCCGCTCTGATGACTTAGCCTCCGTTTGCAGGGCTCTCCTGTCGCAGATTAGAAGTTAGAAGATACTCTTTGGTGTCTTTCCAGCCACCAGAGTGAAGGAAAATATTTTGATGCCTGCTCTTATTTGGGATTGGTTTAGATTCTTTGAAAGTAAGTGGAAGGAAAATAGTTACCAGATTCTCTAATATACGTCCCCATCCCCCTTACCTGAGCTGCTTTGGCCTCATGCTGAGGAAGATGGTACCCTTCTGGAAGGTGCTGGAAAGGTATAGGTGTGTTTCTATCCAAGAACATCCAACTTTATTCTGTTTTCTGTTCCCACCTTTTTAAAAACATATATATTGTATTGATTATGCTATTACAGTTGTCCCGATTTTTCCCTTTGCCCTCCTCCACCCAGCACCCCCCTTCCCTCCAGCAGTCCCCCACTTAGTTCATGTCCATGGATGTCACATGTGAGTTCTTTGGCTTCTCCATTTCCTGTACTGTTCTCAAGGTCCCCCTGCCTATTCTGTACCTACTGATTTGTACTTAACCCTGCACCTTCTCCACCTTCTCCCCCATTCTCTCTCTTTCCTCTCCCAACTGGTAACCATTCGAATGATCGCCATATCTGTGATTGTATTCCTGTTCTGGTCGTTTGCTTAGTTTGTTTTTTAGATTCAGTTGTTGATAGTTGTGAATTTATCGCCACTTTAATGTTTATAGTTTTCATCTTTTTCTTAAATAAGTCTTTTTAACATTTCATAAAATAATGGCTTGGAGGTGATGAACTGCTTTAGCTTTACCTTATCTGGGAACTTTATCTGCCCTTCAATTCTGATTGATGTCTTTGCTGGGCAGAGTAATCTGGGTTGTAAGTCCTTGCTTTTCATCACTTTGAGTACTTCTCGCCAGTCCCTTCTGGCCTGCAGAGTTTCTTTTGAGAAATCAGCTGACAGTCTTATGGGACTCCTTTGTAGATAACAGTCTACTTCTCTCTTGCTGTTTTTAAGATTCTCTTTAACCTTTGGCATCTTAATTGTGACGTGTCTTGGTGTGGTCCTCTCTGTGTCCATCTTGTTTGGGACTCTGTGCTTCCTGGACTTGCATGGCTACTTCCTTCGCCAAGTTAGGGACGTTTTCTTTTATTATTTTTTCAAATAAGTTTTCAATTTCTTGTTCTTTCTCTTTTCCTTCTGAGACCCCTATGATTCGAATGTTGGTGTGCTTGAAGTTGTCCCAGGAGCTCCTTACACTGTCCTCGTTTGTTTGGATTCTTTTTTTCTTCTTGCTGTTCTGACTGAATGTTTTTTCTTTCTTACCTTCCAAATCATTGATTCAATTCTCATTTTCCTCCCCTCCACTGTTGATTCCCTGTAAATTTTTCTTTATTGCACTTAGTGTGACCTTCATGTCCTCCTGGGTCTTTTTTATGCTGTTGAAATACCTAATGAGTTTCTCGAGCATCCTTATAACCAGTGTTTTGAACGCTGCATCTTATAGATTGCTTATCTCCATTTTGTTGAGTTCTTATTCTGAAAGTTTGATCTCTCCTTTCATTTGGGTCACACGTCTTTGTCTCCTCCTTTTGGCAGCCTCCCTGTGTTTGTTGCTCTGTGTTAGGTAGATGTGCCTTGACCCCCTTTCTTAGCAGCATGGTCTAATGTAGAAAAACACAACCTAAGTTGGATGGGGCAGAGCCTTAGGTGATTGCCAGGGCGAGGCAGCCTGTCGCTGCAGCCTCAGGTGTGGACCTGCCGCTCTGTGGCTGTGAGGTGGGGGAGGGCTCTGAAAAGGAACAGTCGCTGCTCTCTGGCCTCTGTAGAGTTTTGTTTGGGAGGGTCCCGTCACCCTTGTGCCCCCATATGCCCCTGGCACCCTTCCAGCCGCTGCCCTGGTGCTGGAGCCCACAGCCTGTGAGTCCGAGTAAGTCCTGAGTCTGTTCCAGGCCCTTTAAGAGCAGACGTCCGAGAATCCCACAGCTTCTTCCACCGCTGCTCCACCCCCCACTGGTTTTTACAGCCAGAAGTTATGGGGACTTACCTTCCTGGCACTGGAACCCTGGGCTGCGTGGTCTGGTGTGGGGGTGGGATCCCTCATTCCCAAGATACCGCTCCTGGTTTTTATGTGAGACCAGCCCCTTCCAAGTCTCTGCCCCTCCTTCCTACCTGTCTAAATGAATGTGGCTTCTTAATTCTTTGGTTGTCAGACTTCCTAGAGAGCTCGATTTTCTGACAATTCTGGGCAATAGTTCTGTAGTGTAGTTGTAATTTTTGCTGTGGTCGTGCGAGGAGGCGAGCCGTGTTTACCTGTGCCTCCATCTTGACCGGAAGGCTAAGAACACCCAACTTTGAAAGGGAAGCCCCTTGAAGAATGGTCTCCCCACAAAAATGTGGGAGCTTCCTTTGCAGGGAAGTGTGGGTTTCTAGTAGGTAGGAATATAGAGCCAGCACTTTCTCAAACGGCAGAGGAATCGGTCCTTATGAAGAAATGAGCGGCCCTTAGCTCTGGCCCGTGGTAACTCGCGGATGCCCGTTTCATCAGGACAGCCCCCCCACCACCACTAGTGCTCACGGACCACGTCAGGCCGAGCGTGTGTAAAGGAGCTTTGCTCTTCCTTTTTGTAAAATTCTCCTTATCCCCGTGTGCTGGGTGGACTGCGAGGCCCCTCTCCCTCCCCTGGCTGAGTTCCCCATGCTTTCTGTCCCCCCTTTCTCCAGTCTTTCCATCGCCCTGCAAGCACATTGGATTCTGCAGGTAGATCCGACTGGGCAGAGCAGCCAGGCAGAGAGAGTGCACGTGTGTGCACGGCCCACGAGTCCCACCCAGCTGGCCGCAGCGGCCATCCAGCCCAAGTGAGCATCCAGATCCGGGCCAGGGTGGACAGCGCCTCCTAGGTGCCCCAGCTGGAGCAGGGACGCCCCCCCCCATCACACCGTCCAGCCCCCAGCTTTGTAGCCCTCAGGCAGGTCGTTTGGGTAGGACTTGCGAGTGAGGTTGTCTTCCCCAGCATCCCCCGTCCTGCCCATCTGGGAAGCCTTGTTCTTGGTGCTGCCCGATGACAGTGCTGGGGCCCTGGAGCCTCTGCAGGCCCGTCCAGCCCACAGGGTTCCTGCGTGGAGGAGGGGAGTGGTAGGGGGCCGGGGAAGGGGTGTTGGAGGGCTGCAGCCCTGAGTACAGGGGCTGGGCCGGGAGGAAGGCTGAGGGCAGGGCAGGGATCTGGTCCCAAGAAACACGGCACCTGCTTGGTTCGTTCCTCTCAGGTGGGTGGGTTTTCTCTGGGGGTGCAGAGCTGTTTCTCCCTCCCCCTGCAAAGGGATGCAAGAGTCAGGAAAAAGCAGTGAGGGGTTCAAAGAGCCATGGGTGAGGAAAGTGGCCGGAGGGGTGGGGGTTTCATTTGCTTTAGGTGACCTCTCTGCAGAGTGCTCAGTTTTAATGATAAGGAGCAAAGCTGCCCCCACCCCGACCCCCAGACCAGTTCCCTGGCCCCCCTGAGCTGCTGCAGGGCCAGCCCTGAAGTAGGTGGGGGGGGGGAGTGGTTGGGGGTGGGGCTGGGGCTGGTCCAGGGGTTCCGGGGTCCCCAGAGCAGGTTTTCATGCCCCGACCTCCCCCTCAGCCCCAGACTTGGTAACTGTCAGCCTCGCGTCATCCCCTGGGAAGCACCTCCAGACACGACTGATTGGCCCCTGGAAATGTTCTGGCTTCGGGTTAATGAAACCCTCGCACCAGCCGCCCCGGCTTCAGGGGCTCCTGAAGCCCTTGCCGGTGTGAGCAAAGCTGAGAAGGTCCTGGGGAATGAGAACCGCAGTCCCACGGTGCCTGGTGTCCGTAGTTCCGAAAAAAAATTTCACCTGGACCTTGATCGTGAGACGTGCTTGGATTCTCAGTTCTGGGAAGAGGGTTTGTTTGCTCCAGGCAGGAAGCGCGTCAGTGAAAGTGAACCTTACCCTGGAGCTCGGCCGGTGGGGACCACGCGGCGGGAGGTGTTTCTGAAGTGCGGAGCGGGGCTGAGCTGAGCCTGGTGACAGGGCGCGGCCTGGGAAGACCGCAGGGGGGCGCTGGGGGTTCTCGGGTCAGATCTCAGTGCAGAGCACATGGGGCTGACGCCGGGTTCTCTGTGTTCGGGCAGGAGGCCTGCAGGGCGGCGGGTGGGTGTGACCTGGGGGGGGCGCTCCCGGGGGGCACTTAGACTTTAAATTCTAGGTCTGGTTTTCAGACATTTCTTAACCGTGGCGCAGCCACCCAGTGCACAAACTTAGAGCAGAAGTTCCGGGGTGGCAAGTCTGGGCGTCACCACCGTGTCTGGTGGTGGCCCCCAGGGAGCACTCAGGACTTGTGACACGGTTTGCAGGGTTGAGGTTACAGGAACATTTTCGAGGAGAGTCAGCCAGTTTCCTAACCGGTCTGGGTGTTTTGCACTCAGATTCTAATAAAGAAGACGCCATTGAGGAGGAAGAAGAGGAGGAGGAAGATGATGAGGAGGAGGATGACTTGGAAGTTAAGGAAGAAAACGGAGTCTTGGTCCTAAACGACGCCAACTTCGATAACTTTGTGGCTGACAAAGACACGGTGCTGCTGGAGTTCTACGCCCCGTGGTGAGGACCTGCACCCCTGACCCCAGCAGGGCGGGGGTGGCCGGGCGCAGGGGCGTAGGCCCCAGGTGCAGGGCCGCCAGGACCTCAGCCAGTTTGCATCAAGCATCCTGTGAGCCAGCACTTACAGAAGCAGTCCCCGGTGATTTAAAATAGGAGCTTGTCCTCTGAGAGTGACAGCTGGGGAAGGGGGTGGCATTTCATGAGCTGTGGTGGTACGGAAACCTGCGTTGGTGACAGGTATCTGGCCCGTCTCAAGGCCACCCACCTCCCTCCTGCAGAGGTGGGGTGGCTGCCCTGATGCGTGTCCCCAGAGGCAGACGCCCTGCCCCCTCCCCTGTCTCCTACCCTCACACTGCAGTGCACGCTCTGGTGGCCACCCGTGTGCTCCTCCCGCCAGCTCTCCTCTGTGTCTCACAATCCCTTCTTTCCCCTTCCCCCACCCCCTGCTTCACTTTGGAGACATAGTAGTCAAAATATACATATGTATCTGGTGCTCGATGTTCAAGCATAGTATGCGGTGTTCTAAAGGAATTTTTTATTATTATTTTTAGAGAGAGGGGAAGGGAGGGAGAAAGAGAAGGAAAGAAACATCTGTGTGAGAGAGAATCATGGATCAGTTGCCTCTCCCACACGCCCTGACCAGGGACTGAATCCACAGCCTAGGCACGTGCCCTGACCGGAAATCGAACCACAACCTTTCAGTTTCTGTGCGAGGATGTCCAGCCCAAGATGGCGATGAATGTGGCCCAACACAAAACTGTCAATTTACTTAAACCCTTTTTTTGGTTTTGGGGTTTTTTGTTTGTTTGTTTGTTTTTTGTGTTTTATTTTTTGGGGTTTTTTTGCTCTACAGTTTTCATTAGTGTTTGTGTGTTTAATGTGTGGCCCAAGACAGCTCTTCTTCCAGTGTGACCCAGAGACGCCAAAAGGTTGGACACCCCTGGTACAAGAAAATGCCCAACCTACTGAGCCATACTGGCCAGGGCAAACTTAATTTTTTAAAAAATTTATTGAGGCGGTGGGGAGAGAGAGGGGGAGGGAAATACCGATTTGGCGTTCCACTTCATTTAGGCATTCATTGGTTGATTCTTGCATGTGCCCTGCCTGGGGATCCAACCCACAACCTTGGTGCATCGGACGGCGCTCTAACCCACTGAACCACCCAGCCAGGACAGTTCTCAAACTTTTTAGCCTTGGGATCCCTTAACACTTAAAATTTGTGGACCCCAAATAGCTTTCATGTGGATCATGTTTATCAGTACTTAGCACATTAGAAATTAAAACTGAGAAGTTTAAGAAGTACTTATTTTTGTGTAACAGTGACCCATCATCATCAGAATGTTGATGTCGCTGTGAGTCGTCGTAGCTTCTGGAAAACTCCACTGTACGCTTCTAAGAGAATGAGTGAAAAAGACAAAAAATGTTTGTTTGGAGTTTTTAAAAGATTTTGTTTATTTTTAGAGAAGGGAAGGGAGGGAGAAAGAGAGGGAGAGAAACAGCAATTTGTAGTTGCCTCTCACATACCCTCTACTGGGGACCTGGCCCGTAACCCAGACCTGTGCCCTGACTGGGAATCAAACCAGCGACCCTTTGGTTCACAGGCCAGCGTGAAATCCACTGAGCCACACCAGCCAGGACACACAAAAAAAGGTTTTGTCGAGTTTCACCTCACAGGCCCTTCGCAAGGGGTCTGTGGACTGAACCCTGAGAAACGTGTGGATGAGAAAACAAGGCTCAGAGACACTGAAAGAATGTGCCCAAACAGAGCGGGTCGAACCCAGGTCGAACCCAGACCTGTGTGACTTCCAGCCACCTGGGCCCCGCCCCCCGTCACGTCTGCTCTCAACTACAGACCTCGCCCGTCCCGATGCCCCGTTTTTGTGTGCGTGGCTGGAGTTAAGCCCCCACGGGCACCGTTAACCTGCTTTTCCTTCCCCAAACCTAACTCTTAGGTGCGGACACTGCAAGCAGTTTGCTCCAGAGTATGAAAAAATCGCCAGTACCTTGAAGGAGAATGACCCTCCCATCCCCGTCGCTAAGATTGATGCGACCTCAGAGTCGGCGCTGGCCAGCAGGTTTGACGTGAGCGGCTACCCCACCATCAAGATCCTCAAGAAGGGGCAGGCTGTCGACTACGAGGGCTCTAGGACCCAGGAAGGTGAGCGGTGCCTAGCTGCTGGAAGAGCCGGCCGGGCCTCACTCCCCCCGGGGAGGGAGTTTGGGTAATAGATAGGACTGGGAGTGACCTCTGGGGGGTCACCGGCTTCTGGGGATGCTCCTTGCTGGGATGGTCAAGGTGACGGAGATAAAAATAACCTTGTCTTTACATGGGAAGGGTATCTTACAAGAGGTGGAGCTTCTCGTTGGTGTTCTAGAGCTGCAATTTTTATTTTATTTTATTTTTAGAGGGGAAGGGAGGGAGAAAGAGAGGGAGAGAAACATTGATTGGTTGCCTGTAGCACACCCCCAAGTGGCGACCTGGCCTATAGCCCAGGCAAGTGCCCTGACTGGGAATCGAACCGGTGACCTTGTGGTTTGTAGGCTGGCACTCAATTCACCGAGCCACACTAGCCACAGCTAGAGCTGCAGTTTTCAACCAGTGTGCCACAGCACAGTCAGTACCTGACTGTTTAGTCAGGGGCACTGACCTGTTTTCCCTTAGACAGTCAAATTAAAAAATGACAACCGCCAACACAACAATAGTCACCCAGTGTGAATGAATCAAAATTACACCTTTTTTTGTTTGTTTGTTTTTTGGATCGGATTGGCAAAAAATATATACTTTTTGGTGTGCCGCAGAATTTCACTAGTGTAGGTGCCGTGGGACAAAAAAGGTTGAAAATTGATTCTCCAGAGCCATGGCTCTTGATGTGCAGCTGGCATCAGGGCAGAGTCGTGAAGACATCGCAGAGCCCCGTGCCCAGAGTCCCCTGCTCAGTAGTTCCCGGTCAGGCTCAGTCACTCGCATCTCTCCCAAGCGCCTGAGTGCTGAGGCTTCAGACCTGAACCCCACCTCGGGACCTGAGGTGTGGGGAGCCAGCCCAGTGGCTCTCTAAAGCCAGGCCTGGGGACCCTGCCTGCTCCCGCTAAGCACTGAGTCACTTTATTGCATGAACAAACAGATAAAATTGTGGTGTCCTTCCGGAAGAGCCTGTCTCTTCAAGTCACGTCTAAACAACTGCACTCCGTCCCCCTTCCCAGGGTGGCACAGCGGCGGTAGCACTGGGCAGGGTTTGCGCTCTCGGCCACGTGCTGGCCCTGGGTCCTGGGTCCTGGACCAGGGCCTTCCCCTCAAGTGGCGCAAGTCTGTCCTGAGACCCTTTGACACTGAGCCCGCCCGCCACTGTGGGGCGCTGGCACCCATTTATTTGTGCTTAGTTGCACACACCGCTTTGTCTGCCAATGAGAGCGCGTGTTTCGTGGGCCACTCCCCGCCCTGGCTGGTTATCTGGCTGCCTGGCAGGAAGGTGGCTGCTGCAGCAGGTTTGTCCTTGTGCTTCAGAGATACTTTGTGCACATCCACGCCGATGTGTCTGTGTGTGTGTGTGTCTATGTGTGTTTGCACAATTATTAGCATCTCTCTCTTTTTCTTTTAATTAGAGAAGGGAAAGGAGGGAGAGAGGGAAAGAAACATCAGTGCGTGTGCCTGTCTCGCTGGGGACCTGGCCCACAACCCAGGCATGTCCTCTGAGTGGGAATCGAACCAGCAACCCTTTGATTCCACGGCCAGCGCTCAATCCACTGAGCCACACCAGCCAGGGCTGTTAGCATATCTTCAATGCCATCTGTACCCTCTTGTTTTTACTTAACAAACGTGTCTTAGTCAGGTTGGTTTGCAAGGGACTCAATCTAAAAGTGGGCTGGCGCCCTGGCTGGCGTAGCTCAGTGGATTGAGCGCGGGCTGGGAACCAAAGTGGCCCAGGTTCGATTCCCAGCCGGGGTACATGCCTGGGTTGCAGGCCATAACCCCCAGCAACCGCACATTGATGTTTCTCTCTCTCTCTCTCTCTCTCTCTCTCTCTCTCTCCCTCCCTTCCCTCTCTAAAAATAAATAAATGAAATATTAAAAAAAATAAAAATAAGTAAATAAAAGTGGGCTGGCAATAGTGTGCTGTATTGCCAGAAAATAAATAGGCTCCTGTATTTGGAGTTGTGTGCTCAGTGTTTGACTAGAGGGGTGGTCCAGCTGGGGCTCTTGAGAGCAGTGTTTGCCAAGGGGGCTCCCTGGGCCCCAGCCCTGTGAGTGCGTTTTAATTAATGACCGGGCCTCCCTGTGGCGACAGACGCAGGCTCTGGGCGTGGACAGGGCAGGCGGTTCTTGCTGTGAGCGCACCTTCCGGTCTGAGAGTGTGTGCTGGGTGGCAGCGGCTCTCACGCGGTCCTTCGTGGACTCCACAGCCAAAAGAAAAGAAAAGGAAGTGTGAACAGTTTGCTTCCGCTGCTCCTGAGAACCGCTTGGAAGATGCTTGGTGAGAATATGCTCTGGGTCCCACTTCCGTCATTGACTTCATCTCTGGGGACCCAGGCCACATAGGGGCCCTTTTTCGTTTCCAGTCCTCACCCAAGGATATGTCTGGTGACTTGGAGAGAGGGGAAGGGAGAGAGAGAGAGACATCAGTGGTCTCCTTCTGTACATGCCCTGACTGGGAATCGAACCTGCAACCTTTCAGTATATGGGAAGACATTCCAGCTGCAAATGGGCCTCTTTCTAACGTGGCACCGATGCAGCCTGAGTGGTGTGGAAGCTGCCGCTCTCTTCATTTTTCTCAGCTTGTGCGTGTTTTATGATGCTACAATGCGCTAGTGCTGGATGCATACGTGTTAGGGGGGCGCCCCCCAAACGGTTAATCAGCACATGTGGTCAGAGCACGGACGAGACCTCCCGGGACTCGCGTGCAGTCAGCGCCATAGTCTGGGGAGGACGGAGCCTCGTTCGTCGGGCTGGTCTCGGGGTGTCGAGGGAGGGTCTGCCTGTGCTCAGTCTCATGGCGTCTCTTTCAGAAATTATTGCCAAGGTCAAAGAGGTCTCCCAGCCCAACTGGACGCCGCCCCCAGAAGTCACGCTTGTGCTGACCAAAGACAACTTCGATGAGGTGGTGAACGATGCAGACATCATCCTGGTGGAGTTTTATGCCCCATGGTGAGATGGTGTGGGTCTCGAGTCCCTCAGATGTGCGTTGGTTCCTGTATGGGGCACCCTGCTGGCACTGGGTGGGGTGGCAGAGGGGGCGGAGAGCCCGGTGGGTGCAGCGTTCCACCTTGCACAAAGGGCAGAGTGGGGCTGCTGAGTGGGGGGAGGCCATGCCGTGCTGGCTCTCGCGGGGGCCTGGCTTGGTGCCCTCAGCGGCAGACGTGCGGGGGTTGGCAGGGCCTCACCGGGTTGTTCGGAAACCCTGTGTCGCTGGGAGGCCGCATCCGGGCCGGGACAGGCCCCTGACAGAGCGGCTTCCCCGGGCAGGTGCGGGCACTGCAAGAAGCTGGCCCCGGAGTACGAGAAGGCCGCCAAGGAGCTGAGCAAGCGCTCTCCCCCAATCCCCCTGGCGAAGGTCGACGCCACCGCGGAAACGGACCTGGCCAAGAGGTTCGATGTCTCCGGCTACCCCACGCTGAAGATCTTCCGCAAGGGAAAGCCCTTCGAGTACAACGGCCCGAGGGAGAAATATGGTAGGGCCGCTGCCTTCCAGCTGGGGTGGGGGCCGGGGCGGGCCAGCGCCTCGGCTTGGGCAGGCGGGCGGCGGGCAGAGCGCCCCGGAGCCCCAGCCCCTGGTCAGGCCGATGCTCCGCCCCCAGGGATCGTGGACTACATGATCGAGCAGTCCGGGCCGCCCTCCAAGGAGGTTCCAGCCCTGAAGCAGGTCCAGGGGTTCCTGAAAGACGGAGACGATGTCATCATCATCGGGGTCTTCCAGGCGGAGAGTGACCCGGCCTACCAGCTGTACCAGGATGCCGGTGAGCCTGGCCCTCTGCGCTGGGGGGCACGCCGCCTGGGGGCCTGCTGCTTCTGCGTTATGGCTCTGGGCGTCGACCTTGGGGTGGCTCGATGCACCACCGTAGCACCTGTGGGGACAGGCTCTGTGTTCGCACGGGCCAGCGGCTGGAGGCTGGCTCCCTGTGGCCCTGAGGGAACACAGAGCTGGGAGGGCACAGTCGAGTTCACCCAAGTTCATTGTCGCTCTCCCTCGCCTGCCAGGATCCCCTTCCCAAAGCCAGCCCCCTCTGTAAGGGCGGCTCTTCACCGGAAGGGGGGGTTTGGTATCAGACCCGAGCATGTGGCCGGCCACAGGCAGGGCCTGATCGGCCCACTTCTTCTCCTGCCCACTGACGTGGTCCCGTCCACCTCGAAGGTTGCCACACCGAAGGGCAGGGGCGACACACCGGCCCTGCCTGGTCTGGTGGCTTTTTTGGAGCACGGCCGCACTCACTCGTTCACACGTGGTCCAGCCGATTCCACACGTGAGCACGCAGCCGAGTGTTTGTGGCCGTGTGGCCGCACAGCCTAGGGCGTTCACTGCCTGGCCCTTTCTAGAGCGAGAGTGCCCGTCGGGGCTTACCTCAGGAGGGTGGCAGGACTTAAATACAGCGTGTGCAGTAAAGGAGCCACACTCGGGGCCCTGCCACCTCGAGGAGGGGAGCCCCAGGCCCTGGGAGGGTGCTGCGTGGGGGCTAACTCGCCGTGCGCACACAGCAGGGGACACGCTCGCTGCCGCCTGGCAGCAGGCCGTCCGGGGTCGTGCGCTTTCCAGCGTCGGAGACGGCAGTCAGTCGGCCGGACACCTGATGGGTGAGCGCCAAGTGCACATTCAGTGTGATAAACATTTTTTACAGGTTGTGAGATACGGGTTTTAAGGTGTTAGGCCTGTACAAAGGTTTTTTTTTTTTTTTTAAATAGTTGATTTTAGAGAGCAAGGAAGGAAGAGAGGAGAGAGAGAAACATTGATTTATTGTACTTATTCATTCATTGGTTGATTGTTGTATGTGCGCCAACCTGGGATCGAACCCGCGACCTTGGCGTATCAGGATGGTGCTCTAACCAGCTGAGGCCCTCGGCTAGGGCAGGCCTGTACTCAGTTTTAAAACCCAGCATTTAAGCTCGAGGCGTTGTCCGCACGGGCCTCACGGTGGTCATCACACTGTTTTTTGGGCACTTGCTCTGGTCGGTGCGGGCCAGGAGTTAAATCTGGATCACTTAAGCAATGTAATAACTTGTGTATTTACCATTCTGTTCATTTTTCAGCTAACAACCTGAGAGAAGATTACAAATTCTACCACACTTTCAGCTCCGAAATAGCGAAGTTCTTGAAGGTCTCCCCTGGCAATCTGGTCATGATGCAGCCTGAGAAATTCCAGTCCAAATACGAAGCCGAGAGCACCTCGATGGACATCCAGGTGGGCCAGGGCGCTCGGCCTCCATGGGCCCTCGGAAGAGCCAGCCCCTGGGCGTCTGATTGGCAGGAGGACCGTGGTGGTGCCACTGCGTGGGGGGGTTTGCAAGTGGAGGTTTCCCTCCCCCACCAAGGCTCCGGTCCTGGGCCCAGCCCGCAGGGAGGCTCCTGGTCGGGGTTCAGGGGGCAGCGCTCCCACCCACAGGTGCAGGACCCTGGCCCCCGGGAGGGCTCCACTCCTCATACCTCTCTCGGCCTCCCTCAGGGGCCCCCCCACTCCGTGGGGCTGGCCTGGCTGGCCTGGGTCCTGCAGCGTGGCTGCTGCACTTGGCCTTTCCTTCCCCTCCCACCCCACTCTGAGCTGGAGAGGGAGCGCCCGGCTCAGTGTTCCGAGCGCTCAGGTGAGCAGATCCTCGGTGTGGAAGAGACTCGGGTGCGGAGAGGTGACTGCCTCCGCCAGGGCCCACAGCCAGTTAGTTAGAAGCAGCTGAGGAGAGAGGGTGCACGTGCCCCTTCCTGGGCCAGGCTGCCCCTCAGGCCCTGACCCGCAGGGCCCCCGGGGACCTGGAGGAAGTGGTGTGGTTGGGGTCCCCTGGTGTGTACCGCAGGGAGCCGCCATGCCACTTCTAGTCTGTCCTCATGACAGGGAGCAGGCAACCTTGGAGGCAGCCGACCTTGGAGGCAGCCCTGACCCGCCCAACACCCCAGCCCTCAGTGCCCTTGCTCCTTCCCCAAGTCTCCATCCAAAGAGGGGCCCCGGTGAGCCGGGTGGGCGGGGGTGGGGGGGCCTGTAGCTTCTGACAGATTCTTGAAGACGTAAGACGTCCTTGCCCTCAGAAAGGTTAGGACCCAGTCCGACGTAGTGTCACTGCCACTTGGCCTTTTCCCTTCCGCCTGCATTTTTAGACTTTAAACGGACTGGTGTTATTTATGCACGACCTCTGTTCCAGATGCCATATAAGGCCACTTTGCGAAAATTCACGCAATACAGTAACAAGCAGTGTTTGGAAAACGTGGGCTTAGACATCAGGGCAAAGGGCAGGCGAGGGCAGGACAGGTAACGTGAGGCGAGGTGAAAGGTCGGCGCCGTCCATCTGTGCGCAGACCCTGAGGCGTCTGGGTCAAGGCCCGAGGCAGTTAGTCTTGAGGTCACCCTCAGGTGACGCCCCAAGGCCCCCAGCTGCCCCCTCCCCTCCCACCCTCCCGGTGCCCTGGGGCCAGACCCCAGCTGCCTTGTCCCCTGCTCCGTCCTCAATGCCACAGGGCCACCTGCCTGACGTTCCCGGTCAGGTGGGGCCCGGGCTCTGTGTGGAGAGGGTGGTGTGCGCCCGCCACTTCAGCTGTGTGACCTGGTGGCCGTCCCCCCACCTCAGGGTGGCTGTGGTCCGGAGAGCCTGGCTCAAGTTTTTCCTTAGTGTGAGCCCTCGGGAGCCCCCGCGTCAGGGCACTCTGTACGCCCCTCGGGGCTGTCAGCTCTCCCGACAGCCTGGGCTCAGGGTCCCCAAGCGCCCAGCTGGTCCCAGGTGCTGCAGGAATGTCGGAGCTGGGCTTGCCTCCCGCTGATCCACCGCCCCTGGGAGCCGCCTGGGTGCCAGTCTAAGCCAGTCTCCACACAGCTCCATCTCCGGGGACGGTGACAGATCAGGCCGCCGCCCCAGCCTCGAAGCTCTGGCCCCACGCTCTTGTCGGAGACCGCACCACGCTCTGTGCTGTGGGCCGTCAACTCAGGCGTGTGGTTTCTCCCCTCACCAGCCGTGTGCACTTGGGCCTCCCCACACCTCTCCGCACTGCTGCGGTCCTGGCATCTCCGAAGCGTCCTGGTGGGACTGGGGAGGATGGGGGGGGGGCGGGGGGCGCACATGCTCAGTTCACCGTGGCAACAGCGGTCTTCTGGCAGCCGGGCCTTCCTCCCGCAGCTCCTGACCGCCGTCACAGCGAGCCCAGGTTCTGAGGACAGGGCCTGGGGCTCCTGCAGCGCCCGAGAGTCTCACCTGAGGTTCAGTGGAGGACTGGGTGGGGGCGGTGGCCAGAGACACGGCCCAGGGCTTCTCACTTCCGGTGGCCCCCTGTGCCCCATCCCGCCTTTATTGAGTGACAGTGACAGTGACAGCAGCAGGTGGGCGTGTTCGATGAGCCCCGTGTTTGTCAGCTGCTGCCGCTCACCTGTCCCGGCTGTTTTGCAGGGCTCCACGGAGGGCTCGGCCATCAAGGACTTCGTGCTGAAGCACACCTTGCCCCTGGTGGGTCACCGCAAGCCCTCCAACGAGGCCAAGCGGTACTCAAGGCGCCCCCTGGTGGTCGTGTACTACAGCGTGGACTTCAGCTTCGACTACAGAGCTGGTGAGGGGCCCTTGCGGGTTGGTGGCCGGCCGTGTGTTTTCTTTGTGGCTTCGGGGTCATTTTCCTTCTGTGCTCCAGGCAGGCAGGGCCTTCTGGCCCTCGGCATAGGCCTCTTGGGTGGGCTGAGCTTTTGACCAAGGTCCCCTGCTCACACAGGTGGGTTTTTCAGCCAGAGCCGTGTCAGAGTCTGAGGGACAGACTCTTAACCTCCGTCCCGGGGACTCACGGCCCTTCGTCCCGTTGCAGCCACGCAGTTCTGGCGGAGCAAAGTGCTGGAGGTGGCCAAGGACTTCCCCGAGTACACCTTTGCCGTGGCGGACGAGGACGACTTCGCCACAGAGGTGAAGGACCTGGGGCTCAGCGAGAGCGGCGAGGACGTCAACGCCGCTGTGCTGGACGAGGGCGGGCGCAGGTTCGCCATGGAGCCCGACGAGTTCGACTCGGACGCCCTCCGCGAGTTCGTCATGGCCTTCAAAAGAGGTGGGCTGTGGGGGGTGCCGCAGGGGTCCTGGCCGCAGCACTCGGCGCCTCTTCCATCCGATCGCTTGTTCCCAGCCTGATTCTGGAGCTTTCCCAGGGACCTCAGGGAGGGTGGAGATGGAGTGTCCCAGTTCTTCTGCTTGCTTTCTCTTTTCTTTCTTTTTCTCTTTTTCTTTGTAATAGAAAAAAGGGCAGGTGTGTTTTGGAAATGTCAAGAAGCCTTATTTTTAAAAAATTTGAAACAGGCTTCTGGTGTCTGTGGGACATTGTGTGCGTGTGGAGACCTGCTTTTAGGCATCACGCAGATGTCTCTGTCGGCCTGGGGGAGCCCCTGGCCCAGCGCCCACGTCTTGGGCAGACCCCTGGTTCCCTGCCTGCCGGACTGCACTGCTGGGCACCTCTCCCCACGAGGCTCTGCTGCCTGGGCACCAGCTCTCCCTGGAGCCCCCCGCACTGGGCATGTCCCTTGTGCAGCCTCACTGCACAGGCCTGGGGTGGGACCACCTGCGCCCTCTCTGGCCTTTGCAGCGGCTGGGAAAGTAGGGTTTGAGGAGACCAGGGAGCTGGGGGTGGGCTGTGGGAGGCAGAGCCTGCGGGGTCACTCACATCCCTCCCCTGCTCGCTTCCCCGGCAGGAAAACTGAAGCCGGTCATCAAATCCCAGCCGGTGCCCAAGAACAACAAGGGGCCGGTCAAGGTCGTGGTGGGGAAGACCTTCGACTCCATCGTGATGGACCCCAAGAAGGACGTCCTCATCGAGTTCTACGCGCCCTGGTGCGGGCACTGCAAGCAGCTGGAGCCCGTGTACACCGCCCTGGGCAAGAAGTACAAGGGCCACAAGAGCCTGGTCATCGCCAAGATGGACGCCACCGCCAACGACGTCACCAGCGACCGCTACAAAGTCGAGGGGTTCCCCACCATCTACTTTGCGCCCAGTGGGGACAAAAAGAACCCAATTAAGTTTGAGGACGGAAACAGAGACCTGGAGCACTTGAGCAAGTTTGTAGAGGAGCACGCCACGGCACCGAGCAGGACCAGGGAGGAGCTTTAGGCTCCGAGTCTGCGGACGGCGGGGGGGACCGGATGCGCCGTGGCCTCCGGCGGCCGGAGGCCAGCCAGCCGCTGGCCCCAGTCAGCGCAAGGGCTGTGTCTCGAGTTTTGTTTTTGTTACTGTTTTTTGTTTTAATTTTTTATACTCTGCTATTTCACCGCACACTCTGATACTGAATAGAAACGAATGAGTCGATAGATTAGCCCAGATTTTTACAGAGGATACTTCTATTTTTATCATTATTTGGGGTTTGATTTTTTTTTTACCTTCCACTTTCTTTAATATATTTCCTCAGAGCAGATAAGTTGAATCTCGTCCGTGTGAATGCTTCTCCTTAATTTAAAACTATGAAACCTTTTTGCCGAATCACACGCAGCCGCCCTTTGCTGTGTCCCTGTCCGAGGAGTGGCTGGTCGGGGTGCTGCGGCGCTCGTCTCTCCCCGTCACCCCGCACCCTGCCCGGGCCGTCGCTGCTGCCTGACTGCCAAGCCTCTGAGCCGTCCGCGCGGGCGCAGCGCCGGTGGGACCGGGTGTTGCCGTGCCTTTTCCACAGCCCTCGGGACGAGGGGCCTTCCCCAGGTCACCAGGACCCGAGGTGCAGCCTCACAGAGAGGCTGCCCACCTGCGGGCGCAGCCCCACCTCTTCAGCATGGACATGGCCGGAGGAGAGAGGACCCAGGGCACAGGAGGACACTCGGGGTGGAAGGTGGGGTTGGCCATTGTGATGGAATAAAGCAAATGTTGAAAGTTAAGCTCCGTGACGGTATCAGAGGCCCAGACCAGCACCCCCGCCCCGCCCCGCCCCCGTCCCTATCCGTGGCCTTGGTTGAGTGAAGATGGAGAACCCCAACCTAGGGGTGCAGGGGTGCAGAGCCAGGAGGACGAGAGGCGGCTGTGGGCTTCCCAGGTGGGGCTTTAGCAGGTACAAAGGGACAGGCGTCAAAGGGCAAGGTGAAGGAGGAGCCCCAGGTGGAGGGAAGAAGGGCGGCGAGGCTGGCAGCTGAGGCAGAAAGAGGTTGGGCCAGAGGCTGGTCCTTCTGCTGTCAGGAGGCTGGCCTAGTCCTGGACCTTGGGTGGGGGAGTGACGTCAGATTGAGGTCTTAAGAGAGTGACAGTTAATTTGCTGGGCACTTAGCAAAAGGCAGTCCTGTGTGAGCAGTTGTCTGGGAAGTGGGTTCTTGTGTGTGTGTGTGTGTGTGTGTGTGTGTGTGTGTGACTGCTAAGGTGGGGGTGTGCCCAGGGCTTGTGTCCGCATGTGCGGGGCTGGGTCTCCTCCCTCGCTTTAAAAAAGCCGAGAGGAGAAAACCTGGCCTGGTAGCAAGGGTGGTGCCCAGTGGCTGTGAGATGGCTGCATTTTCATTAGAGGGTGGGTGGGCCCGAGTGGGTGAGGAGTGGGGTCTCCGGGACTCGGGCTGATGGAAGCTGTGGGTGGGTGAGACGCCCCCAGGGGGCTGGCGTGGCATCCGGATCTCTGACCTGTTTTGTTACTTAATCACACAACTTCTCCATACACAGAGACAGAAGGAGCTAGTACAACCAACACCCTTTACTCATCACCCACATCAGACAGTTACCAAAATTGTGTTACGTTTTCTTTACCCGTCCACCCCCTTTCCTCTTTGATGACACATCCAAGACATGCTTTGTCAACTTGAACTCATTGTGGAAACGGGGGTTTGTTGGATTGGTGGAGTTGTGTTTTGTTCAAGTTGGAGAAATGTTCCAATGTCGCTGTCCTGGTGAGGCCAGGAGGTACCGTACATAGAAGCCTGGAGAGATCTGAGCGTAAGAAATGGCCCAGAACTCACAAGACTGACACTGAGGGGGCAGGGGAGGGGCTGCCAGGAATGGGGGACCCAACATCAGTGGTTCATCACAACCTCAGTCAAAGCCAACTGCTGTGTGACCGGGCAAGTCACTTCACTCTCCTTGGGGGCTTATTTTCCCACCTGCACTGTAAAGACACAGCCCACTTCACTCAGGGCGTTTGTAAGGGTTCTGCATGATGACGTGGGCACGGAGCTTAGCTTTGTTCCTGGCATGTGGTCATCCCGGTGGGGAAGGGGGCAGCTGAGTCCCAGGCTTGGAGTTCCAGCTAAAGAAGACGCAGCCGTCTGTCCCCTGAGTGGTGGTTTGTGCCAAGTTAGTGCCGCGATGCTGAGTGCGTGACAGAAAATCGGTGCGTGGATCTGAGACACCAAGTCGAAGCTCCTGAAACGCTCACTTCGAGGCCTTTCTTCTTGATGTGGGACCTTGTTGTTGTCCCTCCTGCCTGTGCTGATGGGCCAGGATGGGGCCGCTGACCTAGCCTTGTGCAGACACAAGGTGGACCTCAAAGGGAGGGTGAGGGTCTGCATGAATTCAGATTCCTGAACCCCGATTCTGGTCTACTGAGTCAGATGCGGCAGGGGCGGAGCCCACCGTCTGTTTGCAGAAGCTCCTCAATCTGGCCCCGTTTCACCGCTGGAATGGCGGCAGGCCGGGTGTGCTAGCCTCCACAACATAGCACAGAAATGGAAGGGGGTGCAGTATGGGGCCAGTGAAGCAGGAAGCAGGGGTTCCATAGCTCCCACGTTTCCCAAAACCTGTTCGCAGAACACCTCTGAATGGGGGTGGGGATAAATGCTCCATTAAAATTGACTTCTATTTGTAATTTGCCTTGGGAACTGCTGAACCAAAAAAGTGCTTACCCTGGCTGGGTGGCTCAGCTGATTGGAGCGTCACCCCATACACCAAAGGGTTGCAGGTTCGATTCCCATCAGGGCACGTACCTACATTGCAGGTTCAGTCCCTGGTTGGGGCACATGGGAAGCAACCGATGGATGTTTCTCACTTCGATGTCTCTCTCTCCCTTCCTCTCTAAAATCAGTTTAAAAACATGTCCTCAGCTGAGGATTTAAAAAGGCAAAATCTGTTTAAGGTGCTTCAATGGGGTTCTTTTTGAAGAAGTTCTCAGATCCTGCAAGGCTTCGGCGTGCCAGGGATGCTGGGAAGACGGGACTTCTTCACCTGGCTTCGCGGCTTCTTTGACCCAAACTGCACAGATCCATGGGGCTCCTTGGTGACCGGTCCCCCAACACCAAGCCCTGTTAGCTCAGTGTATTTCCCGAGGGCACCCCTGCCCTTGGCCCCTTCCCCAGACCCCGAGGAAGCACCAGTGCCTTCTGGCCCCCCAAGCCCCAGGCTTCTGTGTCTCCCTGTCAAGGTGGACCAGCCCCGGGGGTGGGGTGTGGGCCCAGAAGTGCTCCAGAGCCCAAAGACACACCCGGCCCTGGCACGCATCCCACTGCAGGACATCCAAAGCAATGGCATGGGTACCCCGACTTCCGATGCTGTCAGGGGGGTCAGGGGATTACACCCGGAGAGGGCATGAGTGCTGTGATTCCTTGGTGTCTATTACAATGAAGCAGAGGCATTGGAAATGCCTTCTGTGGGACCTGTCCTAAGGTAAAGACCCTCCCCTTGGAGTCTGCCTTGTGATCCACGGGACAGTTGGCACGCTGAGCGGAGGGCTGGGGAGAGCGAAAGCCATGCTGGAGCCCCCGAGGCCCGAGCCCATAGTAACACGGCCCGTGTGGACGAGCTGGTGGAGGGCTGCAGACCTTGGGTTGACCGGCTCGAGGGCCTCCCTGACGCAGGCCCCCCGGACCACACCTCACCCTGCACGGACCACAGCTCTCCAATTCAGCACGTTCCCACCTCCGATGGCAGAGATAGTGTGGCGGAGAGAAGAGGACAAAGGACCACTTGTTATAAAGACTGAGAAGGGGACCTTTTAGAAAGCGGTGTCAGTGGCTTGGAGCGGGAATCGTGTGCGAAAAGAACCCTCCCGTCATGCTGGAGTTTCTCATGAAAAGAAAGCGGGCTCAGGTCCAGGTGGGTTGAAAGCTGATGACTAAACCTGGGGTGAGAGGGGAATCGAATCCTCCCTCTCCCCACCTGCTGCCAAAGTGTCCTCAGAAACCATAGATAATTGGGGGTTTGGAGGCTGGAGAGAGCTTCAGGGTCCAGGTTGAAAACTCCAGTGTTCGAGGAGTCACAGGTAAGTTAACCACATGGGGCCTGATGTGGACAATAGGGAGGGGTGGGGAGCAGGGCACACCTGGGATTCTGCATTCCACCTGAGAGGGGACTTCTTGTCCAGGGGAATCTGGTTCTGCTGTTGCTGTTCAGATTTTTCAAGAAAATCCTGATACTGTGTGAAATCCCCGAACTTCTTTTTAAAAAAGATTTTGTTTATTTTTAAAGAGAGGGGAAGGGAGAGAGGAAGGAAGGGAAAGAAACAATGATCAGCTGCCTTTCACACGCACCCAACTGGGACCCAGGCATGTGCTCTGACCAGGAATGGAACCCATGATATTTTGGTTCATGGGACAGTGCCCAACCTACTGAGCCACATCTTTCAGGGCGCCCCCAATTTCTTTAAAAATCTTATTTATTGATTTTTTATTGTTTAATTATGGTTGTCCCAGTTTTTCCCCCATTGCTCTCCTCTACCCCCTCCACACCCCCTCAATCAATCCCCACCCCGTCGTCCTTGTCCATGGGTCCTTCATACACGTTCCTTCACTTGACCTTTCCCCTTCTTTCCCCTGTTATCCCTTCCTTCCTCCCCGCTGGTCACTGTCAGTCTGTTCCTGATTTCCATGTCTTTGGTTCTATTTTGCTCGCTTATTGGTTTTGTTCATTAGGTTTCACTTATAGGTGAGATCATATGATATTTGTCTTTCACTTCCTGGCTTGTTTCTCTTAGCATAATGCTCTCCAGCTCCATCCATGCTGTCGCAAAGGGTAGGAGCTCCTTCTTTCTTTCTGCTGCGCAGTATGCCATTGTGTAAATGTACCATAGTTTCTGATCCACTCATTTGCTGATGGGCACCTAGGTTGCTTCCAGCATCTAGCTATTGTAAATTGTGTTGCTATGAACATTGGGGTGCATAGGTCCTTTGGAATTGGTGTTTCAGGGTTCTTGAGGTATTATCCCAGCAGTGTGATCACTGGATCAAAAGGCAGATCCATTTTTAGTTTTTTGAGGGAATTCCATACTGTTCTCCACAGCGGCTGCCCCAGTCTGCATTCCCACCAACAGTGCACTAGGGTTCCCTTTTCTCAACAACTTGGCCAGCACTTGTTTGTTGATTTACTAATGATGTTCACTCTGACTGATGTGAAGTGGTGTCTCATTGTGGGTTTTTTTTTTAATTTATTTTTAGAGAGGGAAGGGAGGGAGAAAGAGAGAGAGAGAGAAAACATCAATGTGCGGTTGTTGGGGGTCATGGCCTGCAACCTAGGCATGCACCCTGACTGGGAATCAAACCTGTGATACATTGGTTCGCAGCCTCACTGTGGTTTTAATTTGCAGCTCTCTGATGGCTAGTGATGCTGAGCATCCTTTCATATGTCTCTGGGCCTTCTGTGTGTCCTCCTTAGAGAAATGTCTGTTCAGGTTCTTTGCCCATTTTTTAACTGGATTGTTTGTCTTGATTTTTAAGAGAGAGAGAGAGAGAGAGAGAGAGAGAGAGAAACATCAGTTCATTATTCCACTTATTTATGCATTCATCTGTTGATTCTTGCTTGTGCCCTGACTGGGGATTGGATGCATGGCCTTTGTGTATTGGGGTGATGCTCTAACCAACTGAGCCACACCAGTCAGGGCTGAAACCCCCCAGTTTCTAAATGCCAAGTCGAGTTCAAATTGTTTTACCTATTATTTGGGTCACAGGAGACACCTGAGGGCAGAGTCAGTTAGGAA